GGCGAAAATAATATCTAGTGAAGAAGCGTAGAAGAACACAGCGAAAGCGAAGAATAAATACCTTCGCCGGATGCAGATCACCGCCCACGGAAGGTGTGCAAAATCGTGGCTGCATTTGGGGAGAGAAGGGGAAAAGGGAGGGAAAGGTGGTTTGACGTCACGGTGTCGTTAGTGACAGGTGCTGGACCGGTTCCTGAGCGCCATTGAGGTGAAGAAGGTGTGGTGTTGGTGGTGGTGGTGGTGCGACAAAGGCCCAAACCACAGCATCATTCATCATCATCATCATTATCATCATCATCATCGCCTTCGCCGCCAGTCGTCGTCAACCTCAAGTGGATGAGGTCATCAGCCAGTGCTGGCTGGCCAGTTGGAGGAAGGAAACAAACTCTACAGCAGGGACGGGGAAGAGAAGCGGCAGACGGGAAGCTTCTACCTATCCACGACCGCGATCGACGCCAGCACCTCGTTGATACGTGGGTGAGAGCCATCGTGATGTCGAGCGGGACAAACCATCTTCCAGCAAGCAAGCAGGAAGCAATCCGTGCTATTCGAGTTCAGTTGGTTGAAGACCCCGGGAAGCTTGGCATCACATGCTCCGCCGGGAGTACTAAGTAGTTATGCTTTGACAAGGTTACTCGTCGACTTGACCCGATGCATCCATTGATTTAACTTAAAAAACTTGAGATTTCTTGTTCCTTTTGCAATCTACTTGAAGCTACTTCACCGGGTTTACCTCCCTGATCAGTGAAGGTACCACCAAGAGAGACATAGCAGAGGCATTGAGTCAAATGAAGGTTATGGATCCCAATGATTGTGTAAGACCTAAGTCGAGAGTGGGGGAGCGCCATAAGGCTGAGAGCTGTATGTATCTAGACTAGACTTGCAAATCGTGAAGGAGTCGATGTACTCCGTAGGTCGTACTGTACTGCAGCAGTGGACTCGTACAGGTGTGGTTTGAGTCGACAAGGTAGAATTCCAGTTTATCAGATTGGGGGGGCTCCACTGGAGTTCGGCGGTCCGCATCACCCTGACGTCACGTCACCCCCTCCGGTCTTTTCTCGAGTCTGGACCAACTACAGTTAAGCTGTTGGCAGTATAGCAGAGCTACTGGGTATACAGTCTTCCTGCCTGCCGAATTATTGAGTACAACAATATCATAATACTGTTGTTCCTTTCCAGCACTAGGCACCAGCAAATCTTTTACTCCTTCTAATCCTCTTACCACAGTCAAGCGCTTCAGCACAAATCACGGTCGCAGAAGACATTATGTTCTAGAATCCCTAAGGCTGTCTACTAGGTAACATGTACGTACGGGGTACCGTGCTTAAATATATATCCACCATGATCTCACTGCATTGATCAGCTTCACGCGGGAGGGAATTACTGGTAAGGGGGGTATCCTGCCTAGACTGCAGCTGAAGATCATGCTTTGTTGTATGGAGCGGGTAACTCCTCGAAGCGAGGAATATCTATCGGCTATTATATTAATTTAAATTTGGCCCGGATTGACTAGATGTGCGGTGGCCGAACGGTGAGTGCGACAAACTTGCTATAAATATCAAGAATAATGAGGTAAAGTGCCTGCAAGTAAGTGCTTCCAGTATTCCTTTCTTTTGTAGCCATTTTCTAATAGTTGCCAGTAGAGAAAGAGCAGTGTACTCGCGAAAAGTGGAAAAGTGGGAAGATGGTCGGATAGTTACGACTCAAGAGGCCGGGAGAGAAGTACCTTGCCTAGTACCGGGTAGTTCCAGCCTAAAGGATCCTAGCAGTGATCCTAGTCAATTGTTAGACTAGCCTGAAGGCCCGCGCCCGCGCCGGCGAACAGAGGTTCCTACCTATTTGAGGACTAGGTACTATACGTGTACGCATGGCTACTAGAGTAGAAGTAGCCTGAGGCCAGACAATGGCAGACAGAAAATCTACTCATCACTGGGTTTTACAGCAAGGACTCCCCATCTGGTTAACTTACTCATACCCTACTTACTAAGGTACTCAGTACTACTCGGTAACTAAGTGATGTCGCGATAACTGTGCTGAAAGATTGTTTGAGAAATGATTGGCAGACATATAATCTCTAGGTGAAATTGGCTCCTGCTCACGCCCCTCTTGGTCCAGTCGCGAGCCCCACCGTCTCCCCCCACGCATCCAAACGTTTTCACCCTTTTCCTACGGCCGGAGCATCCACACTACCATACATACATGATACCGTACACGGGTGGACTGACTAGAAAACCCTTCGGCTACTTTTGGTGATGCCATTTCAGCTGATTCAAAAACAGCCACCGTAGGTTGCATAACGGCATCACGGAGCCAACGGTCCGAATCATGGATCATGCTGCCATGCATGACCTTGAATCGAGAAAAGCTTCGGTTTTCCCTACCAGTTAGGAGCCCTGGTTCTTGTTAGGTCGGAACTAGTGATCTTTGCGATGCGACACGTCTCGGCACTTTGACCACTTGAGGGAAGGGCAATCCTCACTGATCCCTGCTCCTGATCTCTTTATCCGAAACACGAGGGCCAACCGAATCTGAACGCAAGCCAAAGATGAAAAATTTTCTGGATGAGATCTCAAAAGGAGTACTCGAGTACACAATGATCGGGCTTGGAAGAGAAAAGGGTGAATGCGAAGAATTCGATTGGTGCGCTGAATTTAGCCACACCTCGATGGCGAGCTCTACCAAGGGAAGACCTCCGATTACGGTTGGGAAGGGCTTTGGTGGACATGGTGAAATTGTGGACCCATGGGACAAGCTAAGAACGGATCGTTGTGGTCTTTGACCATTCTAGTAGTGTCCCAGGATCCAGTGATGTTGCAAACTGTGGCAACCGACTGACTACTACTCATTCGATTTCACCTTCTTTCTTCCGTGCAAAAGCCGAGCGAGGAAGGACAAGATACAGTCCCGTGAGTGGAAGGGGTTGCCTCAATGTCCTCACACCTGTGTCACGTACAGGACTCTGCACTGCACATATGGGTTATGGGACAGAGCAAGAGAGGCGTGTCCTTGGAATGCTGGACAAACCGGCCTGCTGCATTCCCTGCAAGGCTGGACTGAACTGGACAGGACAAACGACGGCTTGGGCATCGGACTATTTCGCAACCGAGCTCGAGCAGATAAGCTGAGGCCCAGTGGGTGAATGATTTGGCTCAGGTACTGATCGATAACACGAAACCCTCTGCGATGAGTTTGTTTTAGGGTAGAATGCCGATAGAATAGTGGATGTAAGTTTGGATAGTCGCGTAAAGACTCCCAGTTTGCAATCGCTGAGCCTCGAATTTGCCCCAGACTCTCTCGATCTATTGGAGTCGAAACAGCCCAATTCAAGATCTTTGCGGATAGGGCTTACAATTCGTCTGGTGACTGCCGGGACCTACTGTTGATATATGCACTAACCTAGAGACTGGTTGGGCTCTAGCACATAATTAGAGTAAGTACAGTAATGCGTAGTTGTCGATAATCTATTGTCATTCGTCACTGCAGATGTACAGACATCCTTGCATTGAATGCTTGAGCGTCAGGCCCCAATAATCATCATCATCTGCATAAGCGGCGAGTGTGGTTCGCCGTATTTCACTCTCACCCCCCACCCTTAGGTCCCTCCCTAACCTTTGGGAGCCTCCGAACTCTGAAGGGTAAATTACGACAATTGGGGGGGGGCTCTGGCTTAGCGTGCCGTAGATCCAAGCGGGAGGTGGACCGACCGAGGCCTTTCATTGACTTCAGTTCCGCCTCTATTCCACTTTCCCATCATTCCCCCCTCCCCATCATCCCCTCTTCAACAACTCCTCCTCCTGCTACCTACTCCTCTGTATTTGCCCCATCCCACCTGTTCACCCAGAAAACTAGTCTGCATATTCTCCCTCATTTCCTTATGATCGCCAATATGGACTCCATTATCGACTTATCGTGATAGTGGCTTACATAACATTCCACATTCAGCACAAGTTCCCCCTTGCTTTCCGTCCTCTTCTCATACACTCGGCCCCCCCCAGGTACATCGCCGCCGCCTACCTACCCTTTGCCGTTGGGCCCACGTCGGTACGAACCCTGAACATGTCGAACGTGCTGCCTCGTCAGGTGTCCTATCATTATCTCAAAAACATCTGTGCCTGATGTCCTGGCCTTATTTCCTTCCCCCTCTTTAATCATCATTACCTTGAAAAAATAATCCCGGGGCCACATGCAACTTTCATGGCATGTCCCATTGACGATACGATACACCTTGGTTAGCATTGTGATCTCTGGATCAACCCATTCTTAGGGGCATCTACCACCAACACCAACATGGCGGCGCAATCATCCTCGAATTCTCGCCCTCACTTTACCAACCCATGGAAGGAAGCACCATCCACGGCTGTGGAGCCTTCCAATCAAACTCCCGATGGCCGCATCGCGCATACATTGACCGCTTGCACCCGGTGCAGACAAGTGCGTGTTTTCCCCCGCTCAACCGCCACCCCTACTCTGCGCGATTATCTTGCCTTCGAGAGCAATAGCATAAATTCCCCGCTAATTCCTTTAATAGCGGAAATCCAGGTGCGACCCAGGAATACCGAGATGCGCGCCATGCGAGCGCAGCAATGCGAAGTGCGTATATTACGATTCGGCCCGTAAATGCACCATATCGAGGACCTACATTGTATCGCTTCGCGAAAAAGCTCGCAGGCTCGAGAATGAACTTGCTGAGCTTGAAAAAGAGTTCAAGCATGCCGCAGATGCCGAACTCATGGTGCGGGGAGCCGGTCGCATCAGGTTCAAGGAGAATGACGAGTCGAGGTACTTGGGGCCATCTAGTGGCATCGCCATGACGCGATTGGTCATGGAGATGGCCAAGCAAAATACAGACTCGAAGAGTATCAAGGATGTCGTTCCCGAATTGACCGCACAGGAGATCAAGCATGCTTTCGCAGCCGAGAGCTCCAAGCCGACCTCTAAAGTTTATCCCATGATTAGCTCAGAACCTCAAACCAAACTACCCCCCAAGCACAGAACCTACCGTTTGATTGATGTCTTTTCTGTGAAGGGTATGACCCGACTACGTGACTCCTCTTGGACTTTGGTTGACCTGCTCTTTAGCACAAGCTATGCTACCCACGCTACACGAACCAACATTCCGTAAAGACGTTGAAGAGGTTTTCAATGGGTCTGACGACCCGTGTCAGAATTTTCAATTACGAATAGTGATAGCGATTAGCATGCAAAAAATGAGCCCGGTTTATGCCGGGTTAGCGGACAGTTATTATCTTGCTGCGCTGCCATACCTTGAGGCATCACTCAGACGAAGGGATCTCCGTTCTTTGCAATGCCTGGCGCTAATAGCACAGTACTCGATGTTGACCCCCACGAGGACCGCCGCTTATTGGGTTGTTGGAATGGCCGTGAAGCTATGTCAGGACCTTGGACTTACCGATGAAGCGACTATCACCAGGTCGTCGGATGGCAAGCTCCTGGATCCCTTGGAAATAGACATGCGGAGGAGGCTGTTTTGGATCGTCATATCCATGGAGTATGGTCTCTCGCATAGTCTAGGACGACCCAGCTGTTACTCCGTCTGCCACGATCATATCAACGTCAAATTCTTCGAACCAGTAGAAGATCACAACATCACGCGCGAAGGAATACGACCAGGGGCCAGAATCATTTTACCCAAATGCATAGCAATACACTTCTTCAAGATGCGACTTCTTCAGGCGGAGATCCGACGCATTCTATATCTCAACAAGCGCGACACACCGAACAACGACCAGGATCCATGGTTCACGCAGATGATCAGGAAGATCGACGACTGGGTAGCAACCTGCCCCAAGAACGATGGAGGCAGCGGTCTCAGTGAGAAATGGTCAGCTCAATTCATCATCCTGTCCCTTCCTTGCGGCTGACATTTTCTAGGTTCCATGGTCGTCGGAACACAATGATTGTGTTCCTCTATCGACCATCACCTCAAGTACCCGAGCCTTCGGTTGACGCTGCGCGCAAATGCTATGAAGCGTCCGTTTTCAATGTCGCCATGCACAAGGAGCAGGTCGCTACCGGCTCTGTTGATTTGACATGGATCTTTACACAGTCGCTTTTTATGGCCCTAAACACCATACTCTGGTCCCTTTCCTACCCCGATATCCGGAGAGAACACCCGATCGACGAAGTGAAAGGCCACCTCAACGTAGCATTGGAAGTCATCGTACATGCAGCGAAGCGGTGGCCTGGAGTTGAATCCGCATTGGTATTATACAAGAGCTTGGTGGCAGCTTGCCTTAGAGCCTACGCTACTCAAGAATCTTTCGTGGTACACTCGCCATCTAACCATGCGACCCCATCCTCACAAGAAGTTGCGACACCACCGTCTGTTGCAAGTCCGGCAAGCACCTCCACATCTCTCCTTTCACACAATCTTCGAGCCGGCAACTCGTCCATTCCCGACACGAGTACTTCTCCTGGTACATATTCTCGGGGCCCTTCGGCAGACCCATCCTTCCCTTATCCCCACGTGCCATCCACTGGATCGTCCTCGATCATGCCGATTGTGGAGCCAATGAAAGCAACCCACATATCGTCTTGGGATAGCCAGTTTACTCCCTCCCTTGTCTCATCCTCCTCACAGGCCTCCTTCAGCCCGCTTTCATACAGAACTGCCTCATATGCAGATATGACATTCGACCCATCGACTCCCTACAACAATATGCCATCTATTGTCCCTGGCCTGCCCGGATGGGATCCCGGCTTCAGCATGGCGTCCACAAGTGCAGGTCATCTGGCCTATGTCGATGCCACTGTGGATCCGATGAACTGGACTGACACGATCGGCGATCAATACTCCCAGTATTTCAACGGGGCGTACCCTGTCCCCTCCTGGCGAGAACGAACGCTCAGCCACCAGGAGCAATTAGAACTCATGGAGACGCTAGAGGATAATATTCCAGATGTCTCTGCTCAACGACTGGTTCAGGCGTCAGCCACATTTTACCAGTCGTAATCTTCGTGATCTACGGGGTTCGTTTTGTTCCCAGGAATGGCTATATTTTCCCTTCGCGTACCCACAGACCTGGATAATTGTGGGTGTGGGAACTCATTGTTTAATGTGGTTGCTATTTTTGCGTGGCATTTCTTCTTGTCTTTGTCATTCAATATACCCATGGGAAGCCAATGGGCTTCGTCTCTGGTGTTTGGAGCAACGCTTTTGCCAGCACTACTTCAGGAAACAAAAGATTCTTTATCATGCTGAAAATTTGGCATTGTTCTAGGCTGGTTGCACTGTGGAGATGCACGGTGGCGGTTCTTCTGTGTCTAGCGAACTAAAGTGCGGAGGCACTTGTTTGTAATAAATGACCCTCACTCATCTAAGAACGGTTTCCTGAAGGAAATTCGCCACTGCATGATAGGAGGGGGAAATGATCTGACAGTGTAGTATGAGATGTGTCTTGAGCTGATAAAAGAAGTTCATGGAAAAGGGCGACGGAAGCAACTCAGTAGTAATATCGGCTTATCGTTGAAGAGAAGCAGTCCTCATCTCCATGTTTTGTAGATGGGTTGAGGCAACTCGAGTCTCCTGCATTAAGTACAGTATTGTTACTCCGAGAGGAGAGGAGGGGGTGAATTCTCGGCCCGTTACACTTGGATTGTAACATATGGTACTGTATCGGTATCGGCTGAGTATTAGTCCCAGTACCAGTACCAACGCAGTACGGGCCCTGGGCGTCTGGAAGTTACTAGTTCCGCGGAAGTAAGCCTGAAAGGGAAGAATTGCTGCAGTTCCAGTTGCAGCCCTGAGCGGTAACTTGGTAACTTGGTAACTTGGTAACCTGGTAACTTGGTAACTTGGTAATGTGGTAACTTACGGAGTCGCAGCAGTCGAGAAAATGAGGGCGCAGATCACGTGCCCGCCGTCATTCAACATCTCGCCGTCCGTTTCTCCTCCAGTTGCGGATCAAAGGGCTTCTTCCCTTCCCCCATCGCCTTTCTTCATTACACCCACCCCCCCCGACTGTTTTTACCACCGCATACCAACACACCACCGGCCGCTCTCCCATCATACGCTTGATCACTGCTTTCATTCGTGGAGTTCGCTTCTCGCCCACCATCACCACGGTTCTCCTCGATTCATTGGAATGCGTGACTACTAGACGGTCGTGGAACGTCTTGCTCGGCCCGCTTGAGCGCACCTCGACCGGCATAATCTGCCAACCTCCCCCCCTCTCCCCCTCCTCTGTCCTCCACCCTGGACCCCTGGACGGTCGACCTTAGATCCACCGAAATCAGACTCTGAGTTCCGATTATTATCATCGATATACACCTACCTCAGCCGATTTCGAGCCGCGGGCTGCTCGGGCTTTGGCCGACCTCCTCCTTCTCTCTCTCACCCTTCTCTTCCCGCACTCCCATGTCGGATCGCGCCTCCTCGGCATCATTTCGAGTAGGACCTCCTTCACCAGCATCTCCCGCTCCCGAGTCTCTCAAGGAGACTCCACAACACCCAACGATCTCCTCCGATCAGATTCCTCAGACCCCGACATCACCTCCGTTGATGTCGGTAAGCGCTCATAATTATGCCACCCACTTCGTACCCTCGCAAACCTCACCTAGCCAGGCGACCTCACAACCCACCAGTCTTTCATCCCCTCCGTCCTCTGCTCCGATGTCTACCCAGCCATCACAACAGCCGGTGGTAGGCGGGTCGGCAAACTCGTTCCCTACCCCCGCCAGCAGCGTGAGCGGACATATACCCGGCACGACCTCGTTTGACGAACCCGATGCTCCAGCTAAGTCAATGGGGTCAGGACCCTCAGAAGGAGGCGTAGTCCCTGCTGGTGGCGCGTTTGCGACCGCCCAAAGGGCTGAACACAGACGGACAGATCACGACCGGCAGCCAGGAGGAGATTCGGAGGGCGCAGTCCGTGATTATGCTGCCACGGGACTACCCGTTCACGGTGATGCGATGGACATTGACAGAGAGGTGCCAGGCTCGTCTGATGGTAGTATGAGCCTTGAGTCGTTGCAACACGATTTTTCCTCGGCATTTCATCTCTGCAAAAGCTGTAAGAGTCTCCCCCAGTCCAGTCCCTAATCAGGCTGTTGCCGCTGCAGTTCATAATGCCATTTGTCCCTGCAATTGTTCATCGTTGAGAATTGAAATTGGTTAACACAAGTGGCTTTCATGAATCCCACAGCCTACACTGCGACTGGTCCGGATCCGTCCCTGGATTTGATTTCCTTGTACGGGCTAGGCCCCGTTGCAAAATCCGTCGCCCGAATGGATCCGGTGACAGGAGAGAAGATCAATCGGCTGCGGAAGTCCTACGAAGGCAAGCTCAAGGGGCTGGGACTTGCGGGCCGGAATAAACCTGTGAAGCATGAGCCTGGCGCACCCGGCGGACTGATACAGATGACGATGTGGCCCGAAGAGGAATGGCAGAACCAGAAGGTGTTTGGCAAGGAGATCAAGGTGGCTGATATGGACTCTGCGTTGCACGCGCTCCAATTGAAGGCTATGAAAATGGAGCCCGGTGCGGTCCCCAACAGCGAACAATGGGAAGATGTTTTGGGTCACGAAAAACCGTCCAAGCATGCTGGCGGCGGCGGTGATACTGGCAAGAAGGCCGTTGCACCTCCGAATGGAGCTCGAATGCAAGCGAATGGGACTCCTGGGCCGGGTGTCTCAGACGCGGAACGGAGTCGACCCAGTCGGGGGCGCAAACGGCACTACGACGACAATAGCTTCGTCGGATACGGCGAAGGCTACGCAGATGACGATGATGACGGTGCATTTTACTCGGCTAGTGATGGCATGGGAAAGAAGAAACGGAAGAAGGTAGGGCCTTCGGATGATGATGGTGCTTTGGGCTTTTAACATACTAATTGCTTTTCTCTTCACTGCATAAAGGACCACGTTTCGAAGATATCTACCCCTCTGCCTGACCGCGGTGGAAGTTACGGGGTAGGTATGTTTGGGATTGGGGCCAGATAAAACGGGCAGCAGCAGCGAGCGACACAGCAGCAAGCTTGTCGGGATGGCAACAAAAGCACCATTGGCTTGTTCGCAATTTTTTCTCTTTTGTTTCCTCTCTGCTTCACATGCATCGTTTCGAAATCCTCTTTTAAAGGCGAGGGACCGGTGAGGGCTTCCAGAACGGGGCCCGTCATGTCAGATTCGATGTGTCTGACCGTCCCCCGAGACTCTATCATTTCTCCGTACATTTTTGCATCACGGTGCTGGATATACCCGGCTTTAACAATGGGACGGCGTTGAAGGAGTCATTTGAATTTATCAGTTGCGGAAATGGTTGCTTATTTGACCTTTACTTTCTATTCTTCGCTGTTTCTATGCTATGTCTCTTTTCACCTTCGAATGGCCAGTGGCTCCCCCCATCCAAAGCTGTAATGACACAGTTGCGCTGGCACTCTTTGTTGCACTAATTGGTTTGTTGGCCATCTCGATTCCACTTTCATGCGTCTTTTTGGATCTGTTATTCTGATATCTTTCACCGAGGCCTTTGAAGCTGTAACCCGAAGACAGCCGTTGACAGCGACTCAAGGCCGGATTGTACTTTCATCTTGCGTTACGGGTCGGGGAGTGTGCTCTCGCCACGGATGATGTGTTGACTGACCGTGCAGGTCGTCTTTTTTCTCTTTTCTGCTTGGCAGTCTGCTTAGGCATTTATTTACCCATGAATGCCGTGATACATTACTTACTACTATTAGATGGATAGGAATGAATAGGGATGGAATGGAATATACTGGTGCACAGTGGTGATTTTGGCTGAGTAGCCAACTGTTACAGTAGAACAACTGAAGGCTTGTAGAGATTTCAAACTGATGCATGTAAACCCTCTTGCCCCCATCCCCCCCCCACCCATTAGAGCCGATTTATTTATTTGAACCAATACCCACACAACCCCTCCACCGTCCTCCCGCCCAAATCCTGACACCGATTCTCCTCCCACACCGTCCCGCCCTCCCCGAACTGATTCGCCAGGTGGCCCAAAAAGAACTCCAGGTTCTCGCGGCACTGCGGGAACTCGTCCCGGAAGAAGTCGTACAGCTCCTGCACGCCCGGCTGGGTGGCCGCGTACGTCACCTTCTCGGCGAACACGTCCAAGTACCGCCGGGTGTGGGCCAGGTCCGCGGCGCAGTCCAGCGACCAGCCTTCCTCCAAATGACCGGGGATGAGCTTGGTGGGTTCGAGCAGGGCGAGCAGGTCGAGGGTCTTGCGCCAGCTTTCGAGGAGGGCGGGGGTTTCGAGTTCTTCGACCCTTTATTTTGTTTGTTGGTTAGTTGGGTAGTGGGTGATGGGGAGTTTCAAGGGTGTGTTGGTTGGGGGAGGGTTGTGGGAAGGTCGATATAGTTCCTCCCGGCGAGCGGGGGGGCACGGATGTGAGATCGGCAGATATAGTGGCAAGGTCCGAGGTAGGATTGTACTGTGTAAGTTACAGTCCAGCCAGCCCCATACTGTTCTCTAACGCACCCCCGAAGGAACCTAGGTTCTCGGCAGTGCAAACAAGAAAAAAGGCATCATCATCGCGCTATGCAGATCAAAAACAAAGGCAGAAAAATGAAATAGAAAACCTACCAAACATGCGTACTCCTCCCGTAAATCGTATCCCCACAGACGACCGTCCGCTCCTTGGGCAACCAAAACACCGTATGATCGACCGCGTCGCCCTGCAGCGGTCCCAGCAGAACAATCGGACTCTCGGGCGCCGCCTCCATCAGGAAAAAGCTGAAGGGGAAGGGCTCGGGCTTCCGGGGTGTGGCCGGCACGTTCTCCGCGCCCATCACGGAGGGCCAGTAAGCCACCTTCTCGGCGTACTCGCGCTCGATCCCGGCGAGGACGTAAGGGGCAGCGTAGAACTTGGCGGCCGGGTAGGCGTCGAGGATGGGGTTGGCGGAGAAGAAGTGGTCCGGGTGGTGGTGGGTGACGAAGATGGCTTTGAGGTCGGCACCCCCCGCGGCGGAAGTGGTTTTTTGGATCCAGCGGAGGACGGAGTGGGCGTCGGGGAGCAGGAATGGGGGGTCGATGAGGACGGCGGCTCCGGTGGTTGGGTCGGTGATTAAGGTGGTGATGCTTGAGAGGCCTTTGGTGGAGGCGATGTGGTGGTGGGTTTCGAGCATTTTGTTTTTGTTATGTAGAGAGGGTGTGGAGTAGATGGTAGGTTAGTGAAAAGGTGAAGAAGGAAGCTGTAGTAAAGGAAGTTTGTACTTCAAGGTCCACGAAACATCCTTCCCCAACACCGCACTGTCTCTCTTTAAGTGTTACCCCTCGTCTCCAGTGTATATCCGGATTCCCGGGACCGGCTGATGATTTCAAGGAAGTATACGTCGTACGGTACATACTCCGTGATCTCAGTGGATTCTTCAGCGATTCAGCTGCAGGGGCCGAGCTCGGGAAACCCGCCTGTCATATCGCAACCCCGGGCTCGGCTTCCCCACAGATGACGATGAACACATGCAGATCCAATTCGTATCCCGAACCAGACTTTGCGCGCATCATCTGCACAGCGACAACCAAGGAAGACAAAGTATAATGCGACGATTGACGCAGGATAAAGAATTAAAAGCCTGCCAATGCCCTCCCCGACACTAAGAATGAGCTACACACCCGGCAGTTTCAAAGACAATGGCCCGTTTTCGCCCGGAGAGTAGCCTCACCGCAGATTCATTGCGGGACAAAGTCATTTTGATCACGGGTGCGCCCTTCTCCGGAGCTGAGCACCGGAAATATTATCCAAGGCGGGCGCTAACCCAATCATCACCAGGAGGGGCAAATGGCATCGGCGCGAGTCTGGTGGAATACAGCTGCAAGCACGGTGCCTACGTCTGCGTTGGTGACGTCGCTGTCGCAGCTGGTGCGAACCTCGTCGAGCGCGTCTGCGCTGCATCGTCTTCGTCCACCCCTTCAAGAGCGATATTCCAAGAGACCGACGTGACCGACTACCAGTCCATTCTCGATCTATTCGACACCGCTTACAAGACCTACGGCCGGATCGACCACGTCGTCGCTGGGGCGGGAGTCCTCGAGATCGGAAACTGGTTCGATCCTGATCTGACGCTAGAGACCCTGCGAGAGGTGAGAAAAGACGCAGACTGCCTGCTCCCAGATTAGCTTGCGCTGACACGAAACAAAAAAAAAATAATAACGCACAGACCCCTTCTACAACCGTCCTCAACGTCAACCTTCTCGGGACCCTCTATGTGGCTCGTATCGCTGCCGTGTATCTACGCCAGAACCGACCGTCGCACACTGACCGCTCCCTCACGCTCATCTCCTCCGTCGCGGGCTTCAAGGAGACCCCGGGGATGTTCCTCTACCAGGCGACCAAGCACGGAGTCCTGGGGCTGATGCGCTCGCTGCGGCCGTATCTCCCCGCCCCGGAGCATCAGCTGCGCGTGAATGCCGTTTGTCCGTGGATGACAGATACAGAGATGGTGAAGAACCTCCAGGAAGGCTGGAAGCAGGCGCAGCTACCGGTGAACTCTCCGTTGAGTGTGGCAGTCATCGTAGCGGGCTTGGTAGCGGACCCGACCATTAATGGGAAGTCGATCTACGTCGAGGGAGGACGGGGGTGGGAAATCGAGGACAATCTCGATCGCCTGGAGCCGGAGTGGCTGGGCGCGGAGCCATCGCGGTCATTGGCGAGGGGACAGGAGTTTTTAGCGCTTGGGAGTAAGTGGCAGTAAGCTTGATATAACGGGCCACTAGAGGAGTACGAATAAGTTTTAAATAAGAACCAAGCTCTATGTAACAGTACAGCTGAACCCCTCGCCTTGGAAAGTACTGTACAGATAATTCACGATTATCGATAAGGACAAAGCCCGCCGGTGTGTGTTATCGATAGCAGATAAAGTCGCAAAACCCACAGACCCGAGATCGGCCCAATCCCGTCCCCGGCATTTGATTATCAGAAATACTTAGATAGGCTCAGGGCACCTGCATCTGCTTCTGCTTCCCGTTCCTCCTCCCCCCCCACCCACCACCACCACCACCACTACATTACCAACCCACCGCTCGCCAGTCAATCGTTACACCCACCTTTTAAACAACGAAACCCCCAACCCTTCAAAACGAATCCATTCAAAAAGGCAATCAGCAACCAAGGAAAAGATGGACCCCCTTGCCCGCGCCCTACAAGCCATCGACGCCCTCCACAGCGCCGACCCCACCACAGACCCCACGACCGGCACCCCCAACGAACTACACTACGCCCAGCGCATGACCGCCTGGCTGGACCGCCACACCCCCAACCCGTCTTCGGCCCTCCAACTCGCCATCCGCGCCCAACACCTCAAACGCTGGGAGGTGCCGCGCGCGACCTACCCGGCAGGCAAAGCGGGGTACTACGCGTGGCGGACGGGACTGGCGCGCCGGCAAGCGGAGATGGCGGTGCAGGTGTGCGTGGCGAGCGGGATCGCGGAGGCCGAGGCGCAGCGCGTCGGGCAGCTGATCCGGAAGGAAGGGCTGAAGGGGAAAGAGGTGGATGCTGAGGCGCAGGTGCTGGAGGATGTGGCGTGCCTTGTGTTTTTGGAGGAGCAGTTGGAGGGGTTCCAGGATGGGTATGAGGAGGAGAAGGTCGTGGCGATCTTGCGCAAGACGTGGGGGAAGATGTCGGAGCGCGGGAGGGGGTTGGCGTTGACGGAGGTCAGGTTGGGGGAGAGAGGGAGGGAGTTGGTTGGGTTGGCGTTGGGGGATTCTTAGATTGCAAAGGGGGGGTGAGGGGGTATGGGGATGAGAGGGAAGGGTGGTTGTGGTTGTTGACTTATATTGTTTGGAGTGTGGAGAAGGAGATTGGTCCATGAAGAATATGTGAGATTTTCATTATTATGTTGTATGGAAGCATTAACGCCGGCTCTATATCCGTGGTATCTATATATTTGTACATGTCATTATGGCGTGAGTGAACTTTTTGGTGGTCGAAGACAAGGTCGAGAGGGTCGAGAGGAAGGTTGGCGTTGGCCAGACGGGTCGCAAAGAAATCTTCGGGCTGGTTATACATCCCCCGCGTCGATCAGTCGGACCAGAGCAATGGCTGCCCCCGCCGCCACACCGCCCACAAACACCATCTGCACTCCGCCCTTGAGACCGGCGACGATGTTGTCGCGTCCGGTCCAGCCGCGCACGACACACGTCTTGATGTACCCGAAGGCCAGGAGCGTGACGGCCATGACGCCAATGCTCATGTACAGCGCGAGGATGACCTGGTTGACGAAGAAGTACGGGATGAGCGGGATGAAGCCGCCGACGAAGTAGCCCAGCGCAAGCGTGATCGCCGAGATCCAGGCCTGGTTGCAGTCGGGCTGGGACTCCTTGTGGTGGAAGCTGATGAGGAACTCCAGGAGACGCTCCTCCGAGGCGTGCAGCGAGTGGCTGATCTCGGAAATGACTTCGGCGGGGAGACGGTACGACGAGAAGATGGAGTGGACAATAGCGGTGGTTTCGGCGGGCGAGGAGGCAATCAGCTCCTTGGCTTCGCGGACGGTGGCTTCGTATGACTCACTGCGATAACTGTTAATGAGTGTTTTGAAAGGTTGAAGCATGGCAGGCAAAGGAACCAACTTACGCTTCACTCTTGGCTCCAACGTAACCGCCCAGTCCCATGGAGATGGCACCAGCGGTCAGCTCGGCCAAGCCACCCAGCACGACCACCTTGGTGTTTCCGAGGGCAGAAAGGCCCGCGCTCAGGGCAAACGGCACGGTCAATCCATCCGACAGTCCCAGAATCGCATCGGAGACAATGCGGGGGTTGATGCGCGACCGAGAGCTGGTGCTGGTGCTGGTGCTGGTGCTGGTGCTGTCCACATCCGAGACGGGGGATTCAGGGCGGAAAGTGTCGTAGGAGCGTTGAGCCTCCAAGTCGCGGTTGACATAGATCTCATCGGCTTCGGAGTTGGACAACAACGGCTTGACTGAAAGTATAGTTATGTTAGCTGATGCTTTTAGGGCTGGAGGCCAAAGTCAGGACAAGTGGGGCACGAACCGAATGGGCTGGAAGCTTTTTGCTGACTTCCGGGGAAGAGCTTTTGTTTGATGAAAAGAAGAGCCATGATGGGATGGAGAGATTGTGTTTTGGTTGATGGTATAGAATGGAAGGATTTCAGGATTCGACAATGGGATGGTTTGTCGGTGTTGGTTGGCCTGAGGCCTGACGTCAGGACTGGACCGGCGGAAAAAGCGAGGCCGGGATGATTCTAGACCTTCGCTACAATTCCGGTAAGGCTGGAAAAGAGGAAGTTGAGGTCGTCACGAAGAACTGCGGAAGAAGAAGAGCGAACGATTCTGGAAGGCTTCTTTTTTGACTTGATCTTCTCACGAGTACCCCTCATCTCGTCTGAAGAGGAGTCCTTCCATATATTTATAGGGACCCCCTTTGGATCCTCTTAGAAAACAACTTTTTGTTCTTTACGTGGGAAGGCCCTTCCAGGCTGCCTGGTTGTCCACCAATGAGGGAGTGGATAATGGTCAGCGGGCGAAGATCATCCGCGGACCGCGCTCGATTTGCTTCGGCGTTAACCCAATACCCCGAGACTGATTGGTGAAACACCGCTGTTGATGACATTTTCCAGTCTGCTGAGTGGTCAGTGCCAGCTGCTGCAGACCACCAACTCGCTCGGACTTGGCTAATCGATACCTCTTGCAGGTAGGGGGGTGGGAATTTCCCGAGAGGGGGTCAACCACTGCTGCAGCCATACAACCGAAGAAGGAGCTTGTCGAGAATCCCGCACCGCATCGGACACGGCTCGCCGCCTCACTTGAGTGTTGGGGGACACTATGAGACTTCCTGAGCGGGGTTCGTGTCAGGTTCACTGGCGTCATGGTCGCGTTACAGCGTCTTGCCCGATGCTGTCTCATCTCCGGCCCTGAGATTATCTGGATCAGCTCAAGCTTCAGTGAACAACATCATCCCATTGTTCAACAGCTTCTCTGTCATGGTTGACATCATGATCGAGCTTGCGACATCATAGCACAGCCGCAGCACAAGGCCCCAGTGCAGACCACGCTGTCTGAACTACAGGCATAGCATCTGCGCCGTAACTACGACGGCGCAAATGCGCTGGTGCTTCCCATTCGGCGAAGGCTACCTGTTTAGGTTTTTTTCTCGCAAGCTCCCCACGTCCCGGCATATTATGCGGATATTGCCCGGTCTCGGACACAGGCCGTAAGCTCGCCCCAGACGGCCCATGATCTACTTATCGATAGTGGCAGCTCTCCAACAGAGTTGGAGACACGCTAGCAATTTTTCCAATGCAGGGAGTTTCTGTTATACTATTTTTTTCCAGCACCATGGAGCACTGACTTTGCCAAGGGATATTAGTTCGACATTAAGGGAAGTATATCCACCTGGTCTCCCTCAGGTTACGAGTCAAGAATGAGACCTGAATACGTACCGGTCTTGGCTAGACGGCTTCGAATCTTGAGGACTATTGTTCAGATGCTTGTTTCTCAGAGACTTCTTTAAGTTTGGCGTGGGGACACCTGCTGAAGACACGAGGCCTCTCTCGACTCAATTTATGGTCCATCGACTACTACCCCTGTCATTTTCTTCCTTGCTGTACTGGCTGGGCAGGCAAGCTATGTCTCGTGGAGGTGTAGAGCTTCGATACAGAACAGATCCTCTGTCCCAACAAAGGGAAGCCGGCTGAGACCTTCCACGGCTACCTGCGATATAACGATCCATATTGCCCGAGGCAGAAGCAGACAACGAGGCAGATCGAAGCAACGATGTCACGAAGCGGGATCTCGCTATGGAAAAAAAAAAAAAAAAAAAAAACTAAAAAAAAAAACCCTCAACTCATTTACCAACGCAACACGCAGAGCAAATTGCTCAACGCATACCTCCTTTACTGGACAAGACCAAACAAGCACTTCAAAGAGCGTTCATCACGCCCATCACTGCAGCGACACCAATCACCCCAGGTCCCAGTCCAGTCGGTGCAGGTGCAGGTACACCACCACGGGATTTCGCATGACGCACACCAGCGGCCGAATATGCCGTGGAGAAGAAGTGCTTCACATCCGCACGCAGAGCGCTATACCACTCAGGGCGGAGACCGTCTCGTATCTCGCTAAAGATCGACGCCCGGGCTGCTGGGTCAGCTATCTGGGAAAGATAGGATGTTGGGAGTGCGGTCCTGCGCACCGACTCAACAGATGTAGGAATCTGAATCTCCCGGATCGTAATGGTCTGCGTGGCTCTGTGAATTGTGATTGGCATCATCTCCCAGTCAGTACAACATGATGGCAGGAACAACGTACAGATTGGGCCTGGGCTCACGGAGGCCTGATTGTGGCAGTGGTTCGTCGCTTTGGTCTGGCGAGGCAGTTGCTGTGCTCTGAAGTATGAGGGCGAAAAGAACAAGACCGGTACAACTATGCATTTCTGTTGACGGAAATATGATGCTCGCGTATCTACGTCAGCAGCAGGTGAGGGCTTACATAGCTAAAGTCTCTATAGATAACTTTATGATGTGTAGAGTAGATATATCAATTGCAACTGGCACGTTTGCGAATAAAAACTCCGAACAGACGGCATGCCTGTATGCAGGTTGCCGACGCTCGAGTCACTTCTAAGGGCTTGTCCTGCGTTTGGAGCGGCGGTAGAGGAGTCTCCTGTGTTTCTTTAGTCGAACCTCAAGCATCGAATAACAAATGCAGGCTCGATTGACAGAAGAACAATTCCAGGAATCGGTTCAAACACTGCTTCCCTACATTCGCTAGACATTATTTCTTCCTGGTGGTCGGACACAATGAATCTCTAAGAATATGTTAAGTGATAGGTGGGATTTTATGCATTAGTTACATTACGGTGAAAATTCCCTACGCAGTCACATATGTCGAGACTATAGATGCGAGTTGATATGTAGACGGCTCGAAGCCGAGCTCATGGACGCTGGAGCGGATGAGGAGCCAGACCTGCTAGCCTGTAGCTGTCCCACCCACTTCCCGGCACCACGGAGGAGTATCTATTCTCCTTCTTGCTTCTTGTTGTACTGTACTCTGGACTCTGTTGCCCTGGCCGTGCTCCCCCGCTACCAAACCGCCTGCTGGACCGTCAATCTCAGAGATTGCTAGTCTGCTAATGCTAACCCACTTACAATCACCATTATCCAGGGAAGCAGACAGACCCTGAAACATGCGCAACAAGCGGGGAGAATGCAACCCTCGAGGGACCTCTTCCCCAACCAACAGACCATTCTAGCGCACTGCGCGTAGACCAAACCTCCTTCAACCCTCCAGCACAAGCAACCACTCTCAATCAACCTTACCCCTCCCCAAACAGCACAACCCAGTTCTCACACCTAGATTACCATCTACAGTCAAACCAGAGGTAAGCCCTGTGCCTCCGCAAATTCTGCCCTCCCGCACCGCCCAGACTACCAACCAATCAAACCTTTCCCTGCTACCCGTCCTTCCCATATAGCCCAATGTAATCATGAACCTGTGCCTTCGGGCATTTGGTCAATTTGAAACGATACAGAGAAGATTAGCATGGCCCCTGCACTAAGGATGACACGCTCAATCAAAGAGAAGCTACCAGTTTTTTTTTGCATCTTTCTCAGACCTCTTTTCGAGGTAGGGGTGTCATGTCCTCTGCATAAGTGGATGGTTGGCGGGGGTTCGAATCGGGTGGTGAGCTTTCTTTTGCAAGTCCTTTTTTGTGGTAGGGGGCGTGGTGAAGGAGATGCGCTGTGATAACTAACCTATTTCACGCCACTGTGGGTTTAGTTTACTATGTGCAACTACGGTGTTCTACGAAGAGGATTTGTGCTTGTTGCATGCATTCCAGAAAAGGAGCAGGAATGACGAGACTTGTTGAGGTATTGTATCACGCATGGTATGTTCACAGGTAGATAGATATACACAGACATTCATCCCATCAGGTAGGTAGATTATGGTGCTGCCGCTGGGGCTGCTTGGTCAGATCAAGCACCGCCCTCGCGCTTCGCGTACTCCTCCTCCATTCGCTCTTCGTATAACCGGTCGGCTTCCTCTTTGCTCAGTGGTCTGTCGTTGTCGGAGTGCGAAGGGTTCGACGAGGAGAAGCTTGGGTTTGTGGTGTTGGTGGACGAGGATGTGGTAGGGTTGTTCTCGGTGGCGGGGGAGGACTGGGTGGTCTCGTCGAGGGCGGGAGGGATTGGGATAGGCATTTTAGATGGTTGGTTGGCGTGCGGATAAATCGCGAGGTGTGTAAGGTAGGTAGGATAGTGGTTGAGGTAGGAGAGACAATTAAGCAGGCAATGAAGTTGAGATTGTTTGTTTGGTTGGCGACAGGTTGGGAGCAGGATGACAGCATATATACGGGGCGACAGACGGGTGGCGATTCAACGTCATCGGGATGGCATGGACCACGGAGTGGCTAGCTGAGCTCGGCGACCGAAGCTACAAGTTCTCGAGGGACAACACCCAAGCCCACTCACTACCGGAGTAACAAACACCTGTGTTTACTCGAAGCCAACTCCTACAGAGACAAAGCTACAACCTCTTCTCCACCCTCGAGCCACTGGCTCGAGATCTGATGAAAAGGAAAAAGGGTTCTCTCAAGAGAGAAGAGTGCCAAAGAATACGCCTGTCAATGACCCGAAGGCCGTTGAACAGACTGTTCCGCCGCGCTGTGCAATGCAGGGACCAATCTGTGGTGAACCGCCTTCTTGATCGCAGTCACCCAAACAAGGTAAGTATGAAGAAAAGAAAGAAGAAAAAGTGTAAAAGGGGGGTGGGCGGACGCGGCTTATATACACGGCTCGGTGGGGACCGAGCGCGCGCTAGTCGGAAGCGAGACTCTGTGGTTGAATACTATTGGTGGAGAGGCAAGTCATGTGATTTACATGCTTCCCTGGGCTCATTCCCCGCGGCCTAAGGCTCAAGCTGCTGCATTGGGAAGAAAGGGGTGGGCTCACTGTACTCCGTAGGAGAAAATCGGAGGACCCGAGGCTCTTGGTTTATCTAAAGATGGACTTAAAGGCTAAAGCTCGATGTATGTACGGACTAGTATTCGCAGCATGATTGCTATTGCTCAAGCAGTCTCGATATCGACTTGAATGTTCTATAGCTAAGGCCATTCCCGACAGCATTGCCATATTATGTGCATGTAGCTCAGGTGGTCAAGTACACATAGCTGCAGCAGGAGCTCCTTTCATGCACTGGCGCCTCCAACTACCTGCTTATCCTCTATCACTCATAGATGTCAACTTCCTTTTCACTCTGCACTGAGGGCGAGACACGCATCAACAGCCAGCCCGACCCTATTGCTAGTGTCAGCTCGAGAATAGCTCAGCGAAACTGCTGATGTAACTTACCGGCCCTCCTTCATCTTGACAACATCGTCAATCACGTCACGGTCAAGATTGGGAAACATATTCGACAACGTCTCCACCACATTGTTGTGCTCAGCACGTTGTATCCTACGGGCCTCGGCGTCCTCGGCGCTAGCCTGACGAGCGGCGGCATCCTGAGAATCGAGAGCTCTCGTCGACTGTGGCGGCATGGCACTACGTGGTCGTTCACCCGATCGTCGTCCCTCGCTGCTGTTACGAGGCGGCTGGTATATATTCGGTGTGAGTCGCGCGGGCGATCCTGACCGCGCAGGGCGATCTTGGGGTGAGTCTGGCTCGTCGGAGAAGAGCCTGCCGATGGTGGATAATGGTTTCTGAATGGTGCGCAGCAGCCCTGCTACAGGCGCTTGTTCTTCGTCACTGGGCTGTGGGGTGTCTCTCCGCCCGGGTGGGCGTGGAGCATCCATCGAGGCACGCGGCACTGAGGCTACTTGCGAGCTCTCCGCGGAACGCTCCATACATCTGCGCTCCAAGGACTTGCGCTCGCGTTCCATCGTCTCCGATTCGCGGTTCTGTTGAGCGATAGCCGAAACAGCAGCTTCAACGTTCCGCTCAAAGTCTTCATCACTCACTGTGAGACTTGTGCGGTCAAGGGTTTCGATAAATTGGATAGCTCCGGACTAGACATCAAGTCAGAATACGGCCGTAAAGAAGAAACGTGACAGACATGGTCGACTAACCAAGGATGATAGGTAATAACCGGCTTCGCCCCCGAGCTTCTCCTGGTTACGGAAGCGCAGAATGTATTGGATATTAGATACCAAATGCGCAGGGTTGGCCTGAAGCACCACATATATTAGGAGCGGAACGAACGAATCTGCCGACGTATCGGATCGCTTCGAGTTTCTTAGCAGGCCTGGAGTGACTGTCAATATTTTCCGTTCTTAACCCTGCGGATATGTTGTTCACCTACCGAAAATCACCTTGCAGCAGTTGAGTATGCAAATGACCTTATCGCGGGGTGCCCGGTAGCCGTTGATCTTTAGAAGTTCTGTACCTTGTAAGCAGTCACCCTGGGAAAGCAATCAACTACACCAACCTTGCTGGGCTAGGTTCAAGAAGCGCCGACCATGTGTGCTCACAGGTGGTATGTCCAGGTGCGCCTCTTGCACCCAACTATATATGCGCATTTTCTGAGCCAAGACTTCATCCCGCTCAATGTCCTCTTGGTGCTGTCCCCGCCTCCAAGGCCCATGATTCCTTTCCAGCTCTCTCCGCTTGCTTCTGCTCGCGCTTCTGGGAATCGTAGGCGGGCCAGGTATAGCCGGGGAGAATGTTTGAGAGTATAGTCGATTCATAACCAGCTTCTCCATACCTTCTTTGGCGTTGTCGAATTCACTGTCAGAGACACCGCGCCATACCTCGCACTGAGCCATCTTGTTGGTGATAAAGACTAAGAAGTCGCTGATGATCTTAACCTGCTCATGGACCATCCATTGTCTCTTGCCGAACTCGTTCAGAAAGGATCTTAGGAATTTGGCGACCGGGTCTGCCGTGCGATGCCGTAGTTGTTCCAGGAAGCGATGGAAATCGAACGGTTGATCAGATTCGGGTTCAGGGGGTGGAGGAATCGTCGAAGTGGATGACCGTCGGCTCAACCTTGCTTCCTCAGTGATGGAACTCTCACGTAGAGACCTGATGGACTGCTTCTCAGGCGAGGCGATCGAGGTCCCGGGTAGAGACATCTCCTCTGGACTCGCCTTGCTGTGTTCTAGGCTTGATTTGCGTGGCGGAAAATGACCCTGCCCACCGAAGAATTGTTCCGCCAGCTCCAGCCGGGGTGACATGATGGTTTCCTCCTTATCGGCATGTGCCGTGTCCTGAAACTGGTCGATGATACTTTGAATCTCTGACTGGGAATCGCTATCCTGGCCCCCACCTCCGCCGACTGTATCTTTCTTAATCCGTCCTTCAACATCGCCGGGAACCTCAGGTAATTCTTTGTTGGTCTTCTCAGAGAGGGCAATTGGAGGGGAGCGGGGGGACCCGGCAGATTGGGTCTTCGAAGTGAAATACGACTCGTCTTTAGCAGGAGGCGTGGGAGGTATGTCGGTGCCAGGGGTTGCGATAGGTTCGGGGGTCTTGGTAGTCACGATCGAAAGCCCCTGCAACTTCTCCGGAAGTGACTGCGGATTCTCGGCTGGCGTAGAGGGTGGATGCGGGGAACTAGCGGCGCTCTGCGCCTCGGGTTGAGGGTCTTGATTCATCTCGGTTGGTTTGGGATCCTCAGGTTGGGGAGAAATATCATCCTGACCCTGCGCCGTTGAATGGAGGCCGGTAGTAGTCACTTGAGGGTCACTGCGACTTTCTTCATCGAGAATGGGCTGATGGTGCTCCCCTTGGATAGGGGAAGCCGGCGACTCCGTGGGTTCTGTGGCAGACATAAGCTACCGGCATGCACGTCGACGTCAAGCAGGAATTTTAGAAAGAATGCGTTAGGTAGCAACACGGATCATCCTGGAGTGGGGGCATTCGGGGACGGAGTGAGCGTCGGAGCTGTCGCGCGGCAACTGACATCAGCCTCAACTGTTGAAGCAAAAGGAGAGGATCAGCTCGACTCAGTACTGTACATACATGCAGTCACCACTCTCAAGAGTAAGCAATCTCAAACCTGCAGAGCAAGCGCTTGCCTGGGGATGGGGATGAGGGGAAGATGAGCTCCGAGTCCCCGACAGCTCCGAGGATGTCAGCCCGCAATCAGCGGCGGGGGGGAGGATCATCATTGCCCCGACCTCCGCCGCCTTTCTGGCTGTGCTTTTCGCCATTTCTCCTTCGTCAACAACTCGCGGCTTGGGTACTATCATGTGTGGTATCTTCTTCTCGCTTGGAGCTTCGCAAGCTGTACTTCCCAACGAGGAGACCTGCTGCTTGCTACGGTGCAGGGGACCGGACAACTACCACGTCCACACTGTGGAACACAATGTGATCGGCAATCAAACAATCGGCGGAGCATCCGCAACTGTTTTTCTTAGCTTCGCCTCCACCGTCTTGTCGATGAGAGGCGACCATGTGGTCCCTCAACCTCTTGTAGATGCGAATACCGCATCCGTGCTCTGCTTCAATGGTGACGCCTGGAAGATCAAAGGTGAATCGATCAATGGCAACGATGCTGAACTGATCTTTAGTCTCTTGTTGGAAGCCGTGAACGGGCCGAATGCAGACTCACCGGAACAGCAGGACTCTCCGGATGTCGTCCAAAGGGTCGTGGATGTCATCGGTAGTATCTCCGGCCCTTTCGCTTTTGTGTTCTACGATGCTGTCAACTCGAAGATTTACTTCACCAGGGACTGTCTGGGACGACGCTCTTTGTTGCAGGGTGTTGATGATGAGGGCAACTTCAAGGTCTGTAGTCTGTGTGACAGCACAACTACCACTCATTTCACCGAGGTCGAGACAGATGGAGTATATATGATCGACCTCGAGCATGCTTTCAGTCGCTCAGGCTCAGGCTCAAGAGCCAGCGGCAGTGCTGTCGTTTTCTCTACGGGCAGCATACACACCCTGCTCTGGGATCAGGAAGAATCCCCCCTTCGTCCAGTATGCGCTTTTCCCACGTCTTTTGAGCGATCGCGACTGCTAACAACAAACTAGAAAAACCCCATTCCTCCGATGAACCGATCTCTTCCCGAAGGATCCATCGCTCCACCACTGACTACCGAAAGTCCAGTCATCTCAGCCCTGGAACAGAAGCTGCGCCAATCCCTAGCGTTACGAATAAACAATGTGCGAGAACCTCCGACATCACCGACCGGTAGCAGAGTCAAAGTTGCTGTCTTGTTCTCAGGAGGCCTTGACTGCTCCTTGCTCGCCAGACTGTCCCACGAGATCCTCCCTGAAAACGAAACAATCGACCTCCTTAACGTCGCTTTCGAGAACCCTCGGGTTGCAGCTGCAGCCGCCAAACAAGGTGGAGGTGGGGATATAGGCTCCGTGTACGAAAGCTGTCCCGATCGAATGACGGGTCGAGCAGCCTTCGCCGAGCTCCAGCGGGTTTGCCCCGGTCGAAATTGGCGCTTCGTCGCCATTGACATTCCGTATACAGAAACCCTTGCGCACCGAGACACGGTGAAGCGGCTAATGAGGCCACACAACACGGAGATGGATATGTCTATTGCATGCGCATTGTACTTTGCCTCTCGCGGACAGGGCCAAGCGTACGATAGCCACCAGCCAGAGGGCAATCACGAACCAGCCTCGTACACCACCGCCGCCCGCGTCCTCCTCTCCGGCCTCGGTGCAGACGAGCTCTTTGCGGGCTACTCACGACATGGGGCTGCCTTCTCGCGCGACGGATTCGCCGGTCTGATTGACGAGATCAACCTTGATGTGAGTCGCCTGGGGAAGCGCAACCTGGGCCGTGACAATCGAGTCATCGCCCACTGGGGTCGCGAAGCGCGCTTCCCTTTTCTGGACGAAGACTTTGTCTCCTGGGTCGTGCAACTCCCTGTCTGGGAGAAATGCGGTTTCGGAACCACCGCCGCCAGTGAAACCACATCAGAAGAAGGAGACGCCGAAGCAGGAATCGACTCCGAAAAGAAAGCCCTGCGCCTGGTCGCTCTCTGTCTGGGCATGACCAATGTCGCCCGCGAGAAGAAACGCGCCATCCAATTCGGATCCCGAACCGCAAAGATGGAAAAGGGTAGAGTAAAAGGCACCGATGCGCTCAGCTGAATGAAACAAACACAGAACATAACTCTATACCCCCCCTTCACCGTTTGCTCACCTCCGAGACAGTAGAACAAACGATCACAATTCAATTCCCCCTTTCACCTACAATCTCCTCGCCAGAAACAAAAACAAACGAAAGACCAGCAAATGATGACAAAACCCAAGAATCAGATACTTCCGAGACCCAACCCCTCTAGCTAGTCCTGCTTTCCTCTTCCAACCCATTTCCTTTCCTCCCCGGGTTGTCTATCTCAAGTCCTGAAAGGAAGAGTGTTAGTCACCATTCAGACACTCCATTATCCACACCAACAAACACATGCCATATGCAAGTTACCCACAGCATGGGACTGCAACCGCCCGCTGTCTTCTCCCCACAGCCGGAAGAAACAGAGGGATAGTGTACTTCCCAATTGCGAGACGTTGGAACTCCCTCACTGTATATCGGTTCCTTGAATTTTGAATTCAAGGAACTGCATGACTGTGTTTGGGGATATGTGTGAGTGCGTGAGTGGGTGCACTGACTTTTAGACTTGTGGACTTGTGGATATGTGCGTCTGGGGACCGAGGGGAATGGGCTAGGCAAAAGGAAAATGGGGAAACGGGGGGTTTGGTGTTGATGAGGTGTGTTTAAAGGCAAGTCTGAGCTGTGTGTCTTTTGTCTTATTTATTGGTTGAGGGTGTAGATATACTTAGGTACTTTGGAGAAGGGAGCGGGAAGGGTCATGGAATTCTGGGGTGGTGGTTCGGGTGGTTTATTCGGTTGTAGAAGAGGATTCCGATGAGTGTGGTGTCGTAGAGGATTGGACTGTGATAGAGCGCCCTTGTTGTGTCAGCAATAGGACGGGCAATAGAAGTTTCTTCATGTGGAAGTACCTTCATGTGCAATAGACACTAAATGTAGAGCAACAATGGCGGCGATGTAGTAGAGCTACGTACGGGACGATTCGAGCCATAAAGGATATAGTAGCTCAGACTAGAAAACACTGGAAAGAGAACAGTTACGATGACTACGAGAAGAAACTACGGCAGACGGAGCAGTTGTCCAGAGACTGGAAGTTTGTTGAATTGGTGAAAGTAGTCCGTGTGGCAATTGACGACCACACGACCGAAGCCTTCAGCCAGCTACCTAAAAACATGACAGTGTAGTGTCTCCTTCAAGGCATCAAAAGGACCCAGTGAGATAGGCGGCCAGATCAATCCAAGGAGAAGGACACATACAAGCAAGGAAATGTAGTAGAGAGCATTTGAAAGTAACAAGATAAGCAAGTCCGTGATGGTCACAATCTGGTACAAATATCAAGTTGGAGTGGGAGCAAAAGCAAATGTTGAGACTCAACACAGGAATAGAGAGATATTAAGGCCACGAGTCAATCCATATATACAGGAGACATCAGAACCGGCCGTTTAACAAAACGACATATCCGAAGAACGAGACCCTCAGCTGATTGGACTGGGGTAGGAAGCGAAACACACCAAAAGGGAGGACTTGTTGAAGAGGCAAGCCCACCTGAAGAGAAGTACAACACAAGGTCCGGCAGTGCAGCGAGACAAGCACGGTGACCGATCATGATCAAGTGACAGATGTAAAAACTTTTTATCCCGTCGATAGCAGGTCGAACAGCCGGTGATTGATGGCGAGGATTGAAGGTCATCGACTGCTATCGACGGGAGACAGACAAAAGGCTCGACGCCCCCGTCCACAAGACTCAAATAAACGACAAGTGCACGATGAGCACAGACACATTAAAACAAAACCCTTTGACCCGCAAACATACACAAGAAAATCCGATAAACTTTTTACTGGCCCTCCATGGCAAGAGCCTTCATCTTCCAGAACTGCTCACTCTGCTGCGCCTCAAGGAGAGAAGCTTCAAGCTCCGCGACGCGACGCTCCAACTCTTCTTGGCGCTCCAACTTGCGAGCACGCGACTTGCGCGCCGCTTCAGTGTTGCGAGCCCGCTTCACGGCGACTGGATCGCTCTGATCGCACTTGATGGGTGCCAGTTCCTTGCGCTGACGACCGTTGACACCAGTGACAGTAGAGTGCTTGTTGATACCAGCGACGGTGGAGTGCTTGACGCGGGTAGTGGGAGGCGAGATAGAGCGAGCTGCGACACCTGAGCCTGGAGCCGGAGACTTCCTCTGCCTGATGATGGGCGAGGCGCTTTCCCTGATGATGGGAGAATGCGGGGGACCCATAGACTTGGTAGGCGGCAAGGGAGGAATCATCTCGCCCGAGTCCATAGCCGGGATCATCTCGACAGGGTCGATAAGTTGATCGAGACGGTTCACCTCCTGCGAAATGGGAAACAAAGCATCCCAGTCTTCGACCGAAGTCATCAACTCCATCTCAGGTGTGAATAGAGGAGAAGTGTTCTGGCTGAAGCTGCCAGGCGTAGCCAGAGGAGGAGTGCTCAGATCAGTGAAAGTGGCCGAAGGAGGAGGCGCGAGAGACGAGGCATCAAGGAAGAGGTCCTGCGGCGAGACAGTGGCCGGAGCAGCCTCGACTCCCTGGCCGAAGAAGTTGCCGGAGATCATCTGAGGGGAAAGCATGGTAGCCTCCATGGAGCCGGGGTGGAAGTCGAAGAGTTCGGAGAGGTCTGCGATTCGAATGTTAGCAAAACTGACACAAGCCATCCGGCTCGTCGCTTTGTGCTCACCTTGGGGGATGTTGGAGGTAGACATGTTGCGGCGGTGATTCTGTTTATTGAGGTAGTTTTGATATCGCTTTAGATAGTGTATGTGCTGTTTTCTGAGGATCTGATCGTGGAGTTTTGGAGTGGTAGAATTGTCGTTGAAAAGAGGAACTGGAGGACGATTGAAGTGGGTAGTAGAGGGCGAAGCGGCAGGCGCGGCGTACTGGCGCAAATTTGGCTTCCGTGCGTAAGGATGAGACCAAGGAGACGTAGTAGACAGATGATACCCGGAACTGTAAGGCGCTATTCTGGCAGATTGAACCCGACTAGGCGAGGCTGCAAGCCGGTGATGTACCGCTGATGAGTGTCGTCGAGTAGGTAGCCCAGATGGGACCAGAAGATTTGCTGAGGCCGAAGAATTAAGGGTAAGATTCCGTGGTGCTGGAGCACGCGAGTCCCTGGGTGAAGGCTGCGACGCTGGAAATAGCACAAAGTCTTCCTGTGGAAGGTTGTTGTTGTTGTTGTTGTTGTTGCTGCTGTTGTTGTTGTTGTTGTTGTTCGGAACTGAAGCCAGTGGCTGCTGAGACGGGGGCGTGGGGAGCCATGTTTGCTGAAAGTTATCCGTGGTGAACGACGTAAGGTCGAACGGGGTAATCGTGCGAGTGGGAGAACTTGAGCTACGCGATGCGATGCTGAAGTTCAGAGGTCCTGGGACAGGAAACTCTGAAGGGGGGGTTGACGAAGGGGGGAAAAAAGACGAGGTCCGAAGAGGATCTATGATGTCTGTCTCTGTTGAGAAAGACGAGTGTAACCGCGGAAAGGCGTTTACAAGGCCATTTTGAATGGATGGATCAGAAAAAGTCGCGTTGTATGATGGCTGTATGGTGACGGAGAGGTGAATCTATGGTGGTGTTGAAGTTGTAAAAAGACCGAAGTCAAAAAGTGGGATGTCAAAAAAAAAAGAAGAGAGAGGGAAAAGAGAAGCGCCAGGCAGCGAAGGGAAACCAGGCACTTCTTAAACCGAGTACCATTTCATGGAAACCAATCAGCGTTGCTCTGTTCCCCGCCTGTCGCTCTAACCGTCTGGGGACAAGCGCACTTTTGGCGCGGTCAGCAGGTGTGAGTCATAGAGCCTATGGAAGTCTTCATTGGGTGCACACCCTCTGCCGGTGGGGCCGGTCGGAGCCCCAGGCATTCCCGTGCCTGGAGCAGGCAGTGAGCCTGCGAAGTCGGTTGACGACGGCGGTACCAGTCCAAATACCGCCCTTTACCGTCCAGGTACACTGGCGGGGGATGTCACTGGCCAGTATCCCTCTTCACCTCCACCGCCAGAATGGAAAAACGAAAGAAAAAAAGGTCCCAGGATCTAGCCTGGAGGATGGTCGACGATGATGAAACCGGTTCATCCACCGGATCCATTGACCAACCACCTCGCAGGGTCGGGGTCTGCATTCGGAAGAAGCACAACTGAACAGTGCCCCGGGCTGTCCTTTGGGGGCTGAGCAAGAGCCTCACCCTCTTGTCTCACCTGCTGTGCCTGTTGACTGGACTACTACCAGATAACTTAACATACTGAGTGCTAGGCAGACAATTCCTGCATACGCATACCTAAACCAATTCCCTCTGTGTTCACGGTGCACAGTTCTCGAGTACTTCTTCCTTCCTGCAGTCGGAGTTTCGGAGATCATTTACTCGATTCACTCCCCGCCCTGCAGAGGACAAGCCCCTCCTTTGCTCGTTAAAATCGCTCGAAGGGCGTGAAATTCCACCTGGTCAAACTCTATCAAGACACCGGGACGTTCCGGCCTCTTCACTAGCCAGGAATGCCTTGATTAGACCATTGAGACCACAATTTAGCCCTTTCCACACCCGTTCAGGTTTGGACAGAATCCTCGAGGTCTGGTTTTCCTGCATGGCGGTATCACTTAGATGAGATGGAACGCGATAATGTTATTTCTCAGAAGGCAGCAACATCGGAGGGGAGAGTATCCCCTTTTTGAACTTCCTTTGTCTTGTCACTTGCCCAACCCAACCGGAGCCGGTATCGGCAGGCACCCGGCCCTGTTACAAGTTACTATCCTTCACAAAAATGTACGGAAAGGTTCCGTAACAAAACCAGCCAAGGAACGGGCCTCCATGGAGTATAGTTCATCATTTAGATTGAAGCAGATACGGATCCTACTGGGTAGAGGGGAAAAAAGGGGGAAGAGAAAAAATCTTCACAGCTAACCAAAGGATCGTGGAAAGTCAAATTCTCAATACCACAGATGTGAATGTCACTCGAATGGCACGGAACAAACTCGATGTTGAACTGATCGATCTGATCAATTGACTAGGTCACAGGCAGCAAAGCCGTCAAGGATGATGACGACAACAAGAAGAAATAATGCCAGGCAGCCTGGACCAAAGGGGCTGGGGAAAATCGAGACAGTGTCTTGGACGCTTAAAGTCCGGTCGCTCTCTTTTTGTGGCATCCACATTTTTTCCCCCGCGGGTGGGGACCGCGACTGGAGATGCGAAGAAGCCCTTGCGCATGGGATGGGATGGATACGCCGCCGATACGGATTGCAGCCGCGTGGCCCGCCGGCCCTGCTTCAGTCGCACATTCGCAAGTACATACACGCACATGCAGATTCTAACGGCTTTCTGCTGCCGGGGAAAAGGAAAGAGGCAACCACCAGTGAGCTATCACAATTAGCATTATTAATGTGAGCTTTCCGTCGCGTGGACTGCAGATCGGTGTATCTGCAGCAGCAGCACTGAAGTCGAATCCGTACGTGTCCTCTCATCCCCGGGTTTGTAAGCATTGCACGGAGAGACGGGACAGCCCATGTGGTCTAATTGGCCAATGGGCAGTGTAGCCATCGCAGCCTAGACATCTATCATGATGATGATGGATGGACACGTTGACGGCAGCCTATTATTATGTAGAGTAGGTTCAAAATACAATAACAGGATCTTAATCAGATAGGCATCAGTTCTTTTTTCCGAACCAATGACCGACAGAATAACCTCGATCCCTCCAGGATTGTGAAAGTGTATCGCGGTCGAAGTATCCCCAACTCCGATGGCCATGCGATGATGATGCGATATCATCGTCCACCTAGCTTCTCTGGAACTCTAAAGATCAATCTACCACCGTTCAAAGTACCCTAGAATGGTACATTACACTGCACTACATCGTAGATGTTCTTGCGCGAACTCAATCCCCAGAAAAAAAAAGAACAGAATCAGACCCAACAGCACCTCGAACATTATCCGACCTACTCTACCATGTCTCTTCAAGATCGCAAAATTTATCGTTCCCCCTTTCTACCACTTTTACAATTTTAGAACACAATAAAACAAAATGCGCCTCAAGTGTACTGTACCCAAAGCCTTTCACATCAGTAGCAGTGCAGGCCGCCCAACGCAACTGATGATCATCACAGTACTTCCTTACCAAGCGTAGCACCGGGTCGCCATTTCGGGAATGACATCGTCAGTCCCAGAGATAGTCTTTTGGCCTTGCCAACCTTCAAATCGAAAACAGACTTCCACCAGAGTGTAGTGCAATGCACGGTAGCAAGGCTGCCTCGCACACATTGAAGCCCGCCGGCTCCGAGACAGTTCAGCACGTCGCTGGGCCTGTCTTTTCGGACCTGATATGCAAGGCGACACAGGATAATGGAATGACCATAGGGGCATGGGGGTAGAAAGCCTCATCTGCTGACGTGGTCTTTTCGTTGTCTTGCTGGTCATCTGACTGGGACATTGCTCCGGACTGAAGGGTATAATGAGCAGGCCGAGCTCTAGGGGAGAGTTGAGATCGAGCTCTTCTGGAGACGATGGCGGTCTTGTGATGTCCGCCAGCTCCTTCCCCAAGCAAGCATTGGCTACCCACTCCCCACTGCAGCCACCTGAAGACAATGAACCACAGTCGTCGAACAACCATCAGGCTCAATCGAAAAATGCCTGCAGATCATCAATCAACCTTAGGCAAGCCAAATCCTAACCCATTGACCGACCGCAGCCGCAGATGCGAATTATCTCACAATCGACGACAACTGACCCCAAGCAACTATCCTCCTGCCTCAATTCAATTCAACAGAATCTCAAACGGACAGCCCCTGCAGTATTGGCTCCAGATTACGGTCGATATCCTCACCATTCCCATCTGAACCTCCTGGAGTAGGATTTCAACCCCTTGTCAAGGGTCCTGAAACTCGTTTGGAGATGTACTATGCCAGAACTCAGCAGCGATATCCACAGACAAGACACGAGTGCCTGGGCCCCATCGAGTCCTCGCGGTTGCCAAACGTCACTCGCGGTATTTCCAAGGAAATACTGTATATAGCTGCCCGGGGAACCTCGTCCTGGCTAGGCCATGATCCGACTGCACAAGCAATGTGAGCAGGGTATTTTTGTCTCCATGATCTCCGTCCGAAATGCCACTGGCGTAGGGCATATCGTCGTCGTCATCGCTCCGCTTCGTCCGCCTCGCAGCTAACGTTGAATTGATCTGGAAAAACTCGGTCGACGTCCGAAAAACAAGAAGCTTTCCTGTTCCAGACGGAAGTGAGACCAAGGCAGAACGCTCCCATTGGCAGTGGAAAGGGGCGGGTACCCGAAGACGACAGCCTTAAGGACATACCGCTCAGCAGCCACCGCTATTTAAGGTGACCGTCACAGGGAGCTCGCCATCGCTTTCGCCATCGGTCTTTCGAACGACGGACGCCACCACTGACCTGACTCGAAGATCCCGTTCTCCTGGTGTAGTCTTCCAGGGTAGCAAACCTCGCGGCGATGATACCCCTAGCACTCTTAGAGATCAAAGTCGCGATCTCCATTATAGCCAAATCGAATCTGCCCAATGCACGAGTATATGCGACTCTTCCGCGAATAATGCCCTTTCAGGCGCGGTTCCGGAGAGGGAAACCGCACCCAGCATCATGGATCCAATTCCCGTTCCTGAGAAGTGTAGCACCCATCCACAGCTATCAAAGAACTTCTTTATGAGCTTCTCCCCCTTGATGCGTGGTCGCGGGCGGCGGAAGACTGTCAAGCCTGTCAAAAACCAGCTCCGATGACAACAACGTTGGTGATTAGAAGATAGGTCAGACCTAGTGATTGAAGGGAATAGCCGCCGCGGGGTTCAACCGTATTCAGCGAAAGATTGAGCTTAGTCAACAATAGGCTTGGGAGGTTGTGTAGGGATACGTACCATGCGCAGGAAGGCCGCGCAGGAAGGCCTCACGCACAGTGCAGACAATCCTAATTGAAATGTATTACGCAGTTCGTTCGATGTTATATTATTTCGAGTTCCAAAGACATTAGAGTATGTTTGAAATCAACGCAAGGCGCCAGTGATTCCCACTGATAGTGGTGTACGAACTAGAGTAAGGTATCCACAATTGCTCTATCTCCATGACACTGACCGCCAGGAACCTCGGAGATTATCTCCATACGCAGGTCACTACTAGCCTAACTGCAGTTGTGTGTGCTGTGCTGTGCTGTGCTGGGGAGCACACCACAACAAGCAAATCGGAAACGGGCGGAACTGTCTCCACCAGACGCACCATGTGGAACAGACGCACGGAGGACATGGACACTTAATATAAACACCTGGGGTAAACCCCCGATCCAATTGCAGAACAATGCGTGGGATTCTATTAGCTATTACCTCATGATGCGGTGCCCAAGTATACATGACGCGACCAGCATTCTGTCCCACCATCGAGTCACCATAGTGGACAAGATGGGTGGTCAACAATGAGCACCATACCCTTTCAACAAGCAAAGAGACCATCCTTTCCTCCGACAAGGGTATCCAGTCAAATGCATCAAATGGCAGTCACAATCAAATCGCAAGGAAGCACAGAAAAAGAAAAAGCAGCAGCAAGTGGTATCAATCTAGTTTGGACGGCGCACAACATGATCACGCAAGGCCCAATGGGTTATCTTGCGGAACGGATATCATAAACGAATGAAACGCAGCACAAGACGCCGGAAAGGACATCAAGGCTCGGAAATAACCGCCAAAGCAGTACAGGGTATCATTGACACTCGACACGGATCACTTCGCCAATAGCTCGACGAGAGAGATTCATGAAGGAGTCAAGGGGGTAGTATCAACGTCAAGCCAAAGTAGCAGATTTTATTTTTCGAATTCGAAGGGGTTCGCATCACCGATTTGCAGACAAGGCACTTGTCTTCCCAGCCAAAACACCGACCATTTAGGCGGCAGCCTGGACAGGGGTGGAGGCAGGGACGTTGTTGACAGGGGCGACCTCCTCGGTGGCAGCAGCAGGGGCCTCAACAGGTTGAGCAGTCTCCTCAGCGGGGGACTCCTGGACGGGGGCCTCCTTAGGAGCAGCCTCGGTGGCCTCCTTGGTCTCCTTGACCTCAGTCTTCACAGCCTTGCTGGGCTTGCGGAAGATACCGCCCAGCTTGTTACCCTTGGGCTTGGCCTCGGCGTCGGCGCCCTCGTTGTCGGAGTCGCCCTTCTTCTTGCCGAAGTTACCGAAGAAGGAAGTGCGGCGGCTGTTCTTGGGGGTCTCCGCAGCAGCAGGAGAAGCGGCAGGGGTGGCGTCCTTGGAAGCTTCGGCGTCAGCAGCAGCAGTCACAGTCTCAGGCTCAATGGGCTTGACGTTAGCCTCCTCGACGGGGTTGTCGAGCTGAGGAGCACTGCTGGCAACGGGGGTCTCAACGGGAGCAGGAGCGGCAGCCTCCTTCTCCGACTTCTCGTGAGAGGGGCTGGTGACCTTCTGGAAGAAGTTGCCGAAAAGAGAAGCGCGCTTGGACTTCTGGGTAACAGGAGCCTCAGCCTTTTTCTCCTCTTTCTCCTCCTCCTTCTTGTCGCTGGTCTCAGCAGGAGCGGGTGTGGCGGGAGCGGGGGCTTTCGCACAGTTAGTCAGAAGTAGATGTTTTGGAGATTATGGGGGACATACCCTCAGCTTCCTCCACTGCAGCAGCAGGGGCCGCCTCAGTGGTCTCGACATGGGCCTCAGCGGGGGTCTCGGCGGCGGGCTCGGCAGCCTTGGCCTCCTCTTCCTTCTGCTCCTCCTTCTTCTCCTCGGTCTCCTCCTTCTTACCCAAGAGGGTTCCGAAGATGCTAGCGCGCTTGCGAGACTGGGAGCGGCTCTTGGCGGTAGCCTTCTCGTCCTTGGGCTCCTCAGCGGGAGCGGCCTCCTCCTTGGGCTCAGCAGCCTTCTTGACGGGCTCAGCAACAGCAGGCTTGTCTAAGGAACGTTAGTCGATGAAGGTCTCTTGTTGCGTGGCGCAAGACTTACTCAGCTTCTCCAGCTCAGCCTTGTAGCCCTCGCTGGCGACGATAGTCTCCTTCTCGGCCTTGGCCTCGGCAGCCTTGGTCTCGAGAGCGAGCACCCAGCCGTCACGCTCAGCGCCGCTAGCAGCCTGGAAGGTGTGCTTGTGGCCGTTGACCTTGAAGTGGAACTCGTTGGCACCCTCCTTGGCGATATCGGAGACCTCAGACTGTGAACTCAGTCAGCATCACCACTCTATTATCTCAAATCACCTATTTCCAAGTACTGACCAGGTTGAAGATACCAGCCGGGGTAGCCTTGTCCTCGGCGCGCTTGGTCAAGAAAAGAAGACCCTTGCCGGTCTGGCTAGCCCAAGCAGCGATGGGGTTGGCGACAGCAGGCTTCTCGTTCTGGTGGAAGGCGGACAGCTGCTTGGCCTCGACAGCGTCATCGTGGAAGTAGAAGAAGCGCTTGGCGAAACGCAGACCCCTGTTGTGACACCCAGGATTAGTCACTGCATGCGAACCTCACAATGCGACAAGTGGCGCCTTACTTGACCAGACCGGGGGCCTTGTAACCAAGGACACCCTCCTCAGCGGGGGTCACCTCCTCCTTCTTGGGCTCCTCCTTGGCCTCCTCAGCGGGGGCATCGGCCTTGGGCTCCTCAGCAGGAGCAGCAGGGGTGGCCTCAGTAGCTTCGGCAGGGGTCTCCTTGGGGGCCTCTTCAGAGGCAGGCTCGGTGGCAGCGACCTCCGTGACGGCAGGCGCTTCGGTGACAGGAGCGACGACAGGCGCAGCAGTCTCCTCAACGGGCTTTTGAGCTTCAGACATGATGATATCGGTGGTTAGATTGATTAAAGGTGTAATTATAGTCGATAGTGATGGATTAGCTAAAAGTTGTTGGAAGCTGGGGTGGCTTCGTAGATTAGTTCGCGCGTTGAGCTGAAGAGGGGTATCGTTTAGGGAAAGGGGGGTATCTTGAAGGAAAAGAAACAAGAGCTCCGTTTAGCGCAGAGCTAGAGAGAGCTTGGGTATCACAATGAAGGAGAAAGGGTAAAGTTTGGGAAAAAAGAGAAAGACCTCTTTTGAGTTTGGGGGGGGGAGGGAGAGATTAGAATGAGTATATGGGGAGAGGAAGAGGAGAAGAAGAGAAGAAAGAAAGAAGAAAAGAAGAAGGAAGAGAATTTCAAAGGCCAGGAAACGAGGAGAGGGTACTAGAAGAAGAACAACTGAACTGGAACTAGTCCATCTGGAAGGAGCAGGGGCGAGAAAGGAGGAGCTGGAGGGAGGGTGAGTGAGAGGGCGGAAAATGAAAGGGTGTGGAAGTAGAGCAGGCCTGGTCACTTCCCGATTAGGCAGGGAGCTGCAGGGCGGGCGGCCCTCGAGGCTAGATTTGAAAGGAGAGTGGAGCATCTTTTTTTTTCCTTTTTTTTTTTGTTTAAGGTATTTTTTGATTGTTTTTCTTTGCCTACTATGAGCATGAGCATCTACTACTACTTGCTACTAACCGTAGTCTTAAGGTAAGTCTTAATTAATCATTGCGACTACGAGTACGATTCGAAGTACCTTAGTAGTGAGTCTTGACTCACTCACTTGCAAGCTAATTTCCTATCTTACCTATCTACTTCTACCTATGTCGTAGCCACAATACTTAAATCAGGGGGTTTTGTTGTATTGCCCCATCGCGTTGACCGACCCATCATCAACAATAACATCATCATCATCATCATCATCAGACCATAAACTAGACTAAATAAACATCAACCACATACATGTTACCTCTGCCACAGGTACGGTACATACGACACTTACATCCTGCACATCCATCCTGCATCTCATTTTTTTTTCTTCTTTTTGACATCCACGTACATCACGATCGGAATCTCACCATGCAGCATGCCCGGATCCTGCAGATTGGAAGCTGCCTCCGACACCAGCCCAGCACGTCCTGTTGGACAGTACACGATCCGGTCTGACTGCCAATCGTCACGATGATAGACGAAAAGTCCAAGCTCCTTTCTTTCTTCCCCCCTCCCCTCTCCTCGCCCCTCCTCTCCCTCCTCCCTGGCCATGGCCTGTTAATTAGGTCCGAAGTATAAAACCCATCCTAGCATAGTCCAGTCCCCTCATGGTTTAAGACTTAAGAAGCGAAAAAAGAAAAAAAATCTTGTATTTTTTTCGCGACGCAGGCCGGGACCTCTTGCGCGCGCCGAACGAAAATTTATCGGCCCAATAAATAGGGTAATAAGAATCAAGGGCCTTGAAAAGGGCCCCTCCCTCACCAATGCTGAGAACCTCTCCTCCCCTACCCCCCCCCCCTCCGGGCCCTCCCCCTATGAGGACAAGGACTTGCTGAAACCGTGGTGAAATCTGATCTTCAAGATAGCCCCCGATTGACCGACAGACAGAATTTAGCCCCCTTACCAAAGAGAAAAAAAAACCCTCCTGGTGACAGCCCTGGGAATGGAAGGTCTTGCCGTGGGACGCGGGTTCGCCCTTTGGTGGTTGTAGGGTTTCTTTACCGGTCGTGCAGATGGTTTCAACGGCGCTTGGGAGGATCAACTACTAACTTACTATACAGTTCCTTAGAATCACTACAGTAGATTGATTATGCTCCGTAGGGGTGGTTAACGTAATTGCCACACCACCTTTTGAGATCCGAACCTCACCTCATCGATGGATCATGGCTTTCTTTTCTTCTTCTTGTTGTTCGGGTGAAGTAGATTGGTGTCACCTGGTCACCGTGTTTGTGGGACCCAGCCCTCCGTCCATTCGGTTTCCATCCATCCAAGCCTAAACCTCCTATTCAGAATTTCCAGATCGTCCTGGTGGGTTTAGCTTCCAAGACTGGTCCGTTACACAACCATGGGTCAGGATCAGATGGGTTCCAGCCAAGTGGCTTCTTGTTGTTTATTCTCGAGACTAGACTAGCTAGTCTAACCTAGTCTATGACTCCTCCTTCGTTCCAGGCAGAGGCAGAGACCAGCTTTCCGTAGACTACCCTGCAGTTGATTCTGATGCTGCCGCCGCATCGCTGCTTGGAAGTAGACGGTTGGCGATGGCTGCCAAAACCGAATCGCGCTGAATCGCGACTATTGATGTTTCACATATAGCAGAAAGCCCGGTCGGGAACAGATAGTTGATAGTCTACCTTAGACTCCTGCCCAACCGATCCACTTAGATCTCGATGTTGCCGTTATTGTCGAAGAAAAAAAAATCCAGCAGCAGCAGAGAGAATCAAACCATGATGAAGGAAATATGTTAAGCGCCGGGCTAGTCTGAATAGTGAGTTAGTTAGCTTTTTAGTCCAAACGCTCGGTTACCCGCCCGCTGTTTTTGGCGAGCATCTTCATTTTGTTGCTGTTGTTGTCGTTGCCGTCCTATTCTCTCTTCATCATCGTCGTCATTCTGTGCCACATTAATGTGTTCCTGCTGAACGAGACTCTGATTTGCTTGCTTGAACCCGAATTCCCTTCTTCTGCTAAACCGACCACCCACCGGCAGTTTCTCAGACCAGTCCCGTCCATGCGACCGGAATGCCTCGTGACAGCCCAGCATTGTTCAAGACTGTAGGACCAACCAGCGGGAAAGGAGCCCCTCCATCTTTTGCAACTCTTCCCACCTTGCCTGATCTTTTTTATCTACCCTATCGGCGCCGCTGACTCGCCGGGAGAGAGAAAGAGAGATATTCAGTCCTGGGCTCGCGTGACTGAAGTCACGGAACCCAATTCGCCAAAATATGGTCGGAGGGGAGTAATCCGCCGCCTATTGAGCGAGAAGAGACCAAGTTGAGGTTATTCCATCTTTCCCATCTAGTTCGTTCCATTCAATCTGGCGATACTAGGCGATAAAGTCACTTGGTGCAAGCAGATGAAACGAACCTAACCAAAGGCATTTCCAAACCTCCGCCACCGTTTTTCGGCCTTCCCCGTGCTCAACGACAGAAGGAAAATATTTGGGAACGGGAGAAGGGCCTTCGAGGAGGGGGCGTAAAAGGGAAGGAATAACATCTCCTTGGGACCATGAGTTCGTACTTCTTACTCAGGAGGGTAAAAAGTGGATAGGATATTGTTTGTTAGCTTCTGCGCCAGAGCTGGAAAGGCCGCCCCACTCTCAATCATCCCCTGTCTCACGACTCACGAGTCACGACTTTTGCAGTTTGTGCTTTCTGAATCTTCTTGAATGATGATCCTGTCTTTCTGGCCTGCTTCTGTGGCAAGGCAGCGGCAGTAGAAGCGGAAGAATATCCCTAATGAGATAGAGCTCATACTTCCTCCGTTGATTTGGATGTACGGTCCGTACCATGGAAGTTCTCCGACATGACATTTGCACAGTAGGTTGGTTATATACAATTTGGCGGCTCGCGGGATCTGCTCAACGCAACCACTATTGGAGAAAATATGATTAACAATGATGATCCATGATAGAAGCGCACGTCGCTTGCTAATCCATTTTAGCAAATTTCCTCAGCAAACTGACTCTACTCCATGGCCTCTCATATACTTGAGTACAAACAAGTTTGCAAGAAGGGTTATTGCAGTGGGCCGGCCAATTTGCCCGCTTCCTCATTCTCCCCCTTTTCCTGCCCTTACTACTACGTACTAGTTTAAATTTTCCATTCTGCGTTCTCTTCCCTCCCGGCCGTTTTAACGACCACCAGCAGGCCTCGGGCTTGAAGCGAACCAACCAACACAAGCTGATGAGCTTCAATCCCGACCGTCCACCAATCAGGCCACCGTCGATCTGATGATCAATGGCTTGGCCCGTGTTGAACCGCCGTCTTGCTTGCTGATCCAGACAATCCCACTGTCTGGCTTTTTGCCGACAGACAGCCATCCGTCCATCTAGCCATATAGTATGATGTTGTATAGCTAGAAAGAAAACCAGCAGGCGGTGGACCACTTGTCGACTCTCAATTTCGCTGCCCGTGATAACTCTAACGACCGCAGAACCCCTCCTTTCCGCCATCTACTCCGTACATACAACCTATTTACATTTCCTCCACGCTCCAAAACGCCCCTCCCGAGGTAAAAGAGCTCCTACTCAGCAGGAATCTTAGTCCAGAACCCCCAACTGCAGGAAACAGGAGGGAAAAGTCAAGGGGGGCCGATGTGAGATAAGCTCCCAAGTTGCGAACGCCAACGACACCGACCAGGTGTGCGGCATTGATATATCCAAAAGTAGCCTGCGACTCATCCCAGCCCTCAAGAACTTTATCTGTAACCCCGTCGAACACATAGTTATTGCCTTGGATGGTCCACTGGCCACGGAAATCGGTGGCGCTGCCGGATATCGTACTGTTCCTTTCACGGCGCGCATCTCGATAGAACATTAGAACCGTACGCACGAAAGAAGCGAGTAGTGGTTGTGGTTGGGGAAGGGCACCCATACATTGATACATACGTACTCGGAGAAGACGTTTGCTGGAAAGATGTGGAAGAAAAGGGGGTGGATAAGTTCTTCGTTTGCAGCACATTTACTAACAAGTATCTCATGAAGCGGCAATCCTATCCATAAATTAGCCCATCATCTTTGCTCTACATCATACCCCGACAATCATCACCACTTCTAATCTACTTCTGCTAGTTCACTCGCTTGATCACCCCAACTATCAGAAACGTGATCACTTCTAGCTTCTGCTACCGAGTAATTACTCATCATACACCTGAGTGCCCGAGGGTCTTCAGAACGCAAACGTGAGTCAATGGCAGCTCTTTACTTGAGTAGGAGTATGAGGGGTATGCCCATACCGCCTTGACTTGCTCACACCTCCACCGCTTCCTCGACTACACGCAAGATCTGAATCCCTGCCGCGATTGCCAATCATGAGGAATCATGAGATATGAAACTGGTTGTAGTAAACCCGGCAGAACCCAAATTATCATCCGCTCCACTGTCTATGTTTCTAGCACTAAATCAACCAACTTATCGAAATCCACCATAACTACTCGTCATTAGACCAATAAATCTTGCAAATTACTGCCCCAATATGAGCATCCTCCGGCTTTTGACGCCACCTGCAGCCCCCTGCCTCTCCTCTGACATCGAAACCGTTGGCTTCCCTTATCGAGTTTAATATGTTGATATAAAAGTGGCGGTTGGCTTCTCAGCCCCCCCCGCGGGTGCTAATTTGCACTTCAGAGGAGAGCTACGGAGCTAGTCTACGCAATGATTCACCTGCTCACTAAACAAGTCTCAAATATAGAAGTCACGCTACCTGTTACTGCAAGGCGACGCCGAATCGAAATAATTGACCCTTAGCATGGGGCAAGGTCACATTGTTTGGAAGCTTACGTGATCATGGTCATGACCGTCGTTGATCAGCGCTAGATCCTTGTCTAGGCACTAGTTATTTGATCTCCGCACGGACATACCGTTCTTTTCCAGACGGAACGTGATCACAACGTTCTTCATTTCTATCCTGAGGTCGAAGGTGATCTCGGCGGTGTGGAAAGGACCCAACCACACATTTTACCCCATTGGCAGGAAGTGATCTCCAGGCGATGCAGCGGCTACAGTACAGGGCTGCTATTAGCCAACCACTACTAGGTACAGTACCATTAACCATCATCAAACCCAAATCAACCGGGGTTGGCCTTTGCTAAACCGACGTAGATTGCTTGGTACACACAAGGAAACCATAGTTCAAAACCCTGTGAGATCTTGCATCTTCAGCCTTCTCACAATAGTACGAGTACTACGTTAGCGCTCGTCACTGCGGAAGTATAGAACCTCAGTATGTACTGTAGCCCACCTCACACCTCACGTGACCACAGCCCCTCCCCCACTTCACCCAAGTAACCTCTACAACTCCAACGCAGTCCAGCACATCAAGAAGAAAATACTGAAATAAACCCTCACTCAGCCCCCAAGCCCACCCTGACAAAGTGGAGACAAGAAGGGCTGACATTGGGGGAAGGCCAAACCCGGCGGGCGCCGCAGGCAAACCACTGCACTGCACTGCACCTGGCAGTCGCATGACGTGCCTTATCACGCCATATACCTACCATCACCATGCACTCTGTAGATCCCCCACCTCGGAACCGAGGTCTTCCCATAGATAGGAACATCCTCAGATTCGTCCGCTAGCGCAATGAACTCTAAGATGGTATCACTGTCACCACCTGACGAGATGGCGAATCCTGCTCGCGTGAGGGAGAGAGGGGAGTTCGGGTTCGGATCCAGTGATGTATGTTCATTAGGTCTGGTCTCTGATCTACGCAATTGTTGATCGATGGTGTGAATTGGTGATGTGGGTATCGATTGCTTGCCCATATCAAAAGTATAGTGGTGCGGAGGGAGACGGGGGAAGGGTGGATCTACTCACTGGTTCATTAGTAGTTTGAGGATGTATCCTGGTATCAAGCCTTGTATTCTTTACTTTCATGGACATAAGATTTCTTTTTAGATACCCAGTAGAAGATTCCATAGTCGACTGCGTCGTGAAATAAACTTGCTCTCATATTATCTATCCAGGACTAGTACCTGTATGCAGGCGCCATGCAGACTGCAGAGGTCACCAATGATCTAGATCATTAGGAAACCCCCCTAGTTACTGTATACATCGCACCTTACATACCCCCCATACACAAGAAAACAATGCACAACCCCAAAATTCTACCAAGAAGAATAAAACCATTAAAGAATGATAGTCCTCATGTTCGTATCGATATCCAGAGAAAACGCACCTTAATCCTCAACAGAAACGAGAGTATCGAAAACAAGAACAGTCTGTGTCTAAGCCCTCACCACCAAAAAAATCCTCCACCTCCTCCTCATCATCCACCCAATTAACCCCGCTCCCCAACCCAAACCCACCACTGCTCAGCACCAACCCCTTAATCTCGACCAACACCCCCAAGATCCCCCAGCGGTCTACAACCTCATCGAACACCTGCCCCACAGGCAACACCCACCCGCCGTGGCCCGAATCCCACCGATAGAACTGCATCGTCACCGGCAGACGAGGAAGCATCACGGCGCCGACGATGGGCCCTGCCGATGAAAGCAGTAGCTGAAGCGAGTGATGGTGGTGTTGGTAGTAGTGGTCGTGGCCATGATTGTGTGCACGGCGGCCAGGAAATCCCGCAGAACGAGCACGTGGTGGCCCGGGTGCGCGAGCCGCTTATGAGGGTGAAGATGATGAGGGTCCCGCTGCCGCTGCGGCTGCGGCTGCCGTCCCTGCCGGCTACGTTCTTAGCCCCCACTTCAGCTTCAGCTGCATCGTCGTGCCCAGGCTCACGCAAAGTCACGGTGATGCGGGTGTAGGACTCGCGCATCGGGGAGATGATCCCGGCTTCGAGGTCTACGGTGAAGCCTGCCGCGGTGGGGAAGAGATCACTGAGGGCGGCATACCATAGGCTGGTGGAATTGAGAGCGTGGGAGCGTTGGTAGATGGTGGTGTTGTCTGAGGCGCTCATTTTGGTGGTTGATGCTATGTATAGTTAGTGGGGGCTCAGAGGAGAGGGGTTTTCCTGGTGATAATTAGTGAGATCTGGGGTTAGGTTCAGTGTATCTCAGTATGAGGTTTAGTGATTTCAGTCAAGGTTGGTAGGGGTAGAGGTAGAGGTAGGTAGTTATCTTGGTTATCGTGGCGGATTTAATAAGCTTTGAGGTTGGTGAAACCGTAAGGACTGAAGGCTTAGCGGAGGTTCTCTCTAGTAGTATGCAAACGGAGATTAGTATGGAGGATTTCCTCAACATGCCTGAATGTCAAAGACTGTCAGTAAACAGAGCGGAAGTCCCCTTGTCTTGGCATCTGTTATTTAGAAAGAACTCCTGAAATTAGCCGATATTTGCAAGTGCAATTGCGATCAATTCTGGACATTGAGTTGCATATCGGTCAATTCCGTATGCCACAGAGGGTATATGTCGAACTCCGTACTGGAACTGAGCGTTTCCGAAGAGTTTCGGCAGAGCCTTCGTGCTTCTTCAACAGAAAGTGTGTGTATTCCCTTAGAATGTGCTGCACACCTCTCTCTGGAGGATGAGAAAGGGGAGAGCGGAGCATAGATTTGACAGAAGCTGCAGGGAGAAAACTCCAAGTGATGCCGAGCAGCGCTACAAATGAAATGCCATGCTCAGCATTGGTTCAAACCGCCGCCAGTCATGCAAGTAGCAATAATTAAGGTTGGAAGACGACTATAGGTAATAAGTTAGTTGGTTAAGCTATGCGCCCGACCAGCTCACATTAACAACAGCCGACACATACATACACACGCTCACAATCATTATACAATAAGTAGTAAGAAAGTCAACCACAACATGCTATGCAAGAGACAAATATACCAAAAATTATGCCACTATAGGCGGAACCGGCCAACACATAAAAGTACCAGTCGAAACAGCTATCAAGCCGCTGTTGTGAGAACGTAACTAGAGGAATCATGTCAGTCAGAAAGCACAATCCCGTGTACAGGAATGGCGGAATGCTCACGAAGTAATACTGTCCATCCGCTCCGTAGTCAGTTTCAGACTGACCGTCAAAAGCTCCCTTGCAATCTCTGGCTCGTTTTCACGCAGCTCCTGCCACTTCTCCATGTTCAAACACCAACTCACGCAGTCCTGTTCGGCCTTGACCGTCGCTGTCCGGCGGGTCTCGCTGAAAAAGGGCAGCTCGCCGCACGGTCGGCCAGCCACAATGATTTCGAAGTATCGTCCCTGCGGTAGTTCGTACTCGGCACGAAGCATCCCGGACTCCAGAAGATAGAATCCCATCGGAATATCGCCTTCACGGAATAGGACAGTGCCTGCTGCGTAGCTTTCTCGCACGAAATAGGCGCACACTGGAAACCAGAAATCCTCGTTCCGGGAGGTAATGCCCTGGAAGGTCTGGAGGAGCAGCGGAAGCGGCTGGCGCATGGCAGACCATGCTGCTGGTGCGACTACTGCGACTTCGTCTTCGCGGAGGGTGCTCCTCGCGGCTTGCTGTAGGTATCGCTGGCGAGGAGAACTGACTATCGTATCACCCAGGTGGGATGGTGCTTGCGGGGTAGGAACTTCCAGGAAGCTTGTAGAAGTTCCGTGCTGTCTCCTCAACAATGCCTCCCTGTGGCTGTAGAACACTTTGAGATAGGCATTCTCGCAGAATTCGAGCGCCGAATTCAGATCCTCGAAAATTTCCACACCTGCTACAGCCTCGAATAAGCCCACGTTCTGGAGACTACGTCCCACCTCTCCTTCCACGTCAAGGCCAGAAATGGTCATTTGAACGTTCCGCTTGCTAAGAATGCGATTGATGCGGGTGAATGCCTCGGCCGCGGAGAAGTCGATGCCATAAACTCTGGAGAAGTCAAGGATCAGGAATCGGATGGGCCGTCGGTTGAATGCCTCTTCCTCGATCAATCCTCTCATCGTATTTTCAACGCTCACGATGGTACCGAAGAAGAGATACCCGCCAAGCTTGATGATAAGGGTCTGCTGCCCGGCTTCCTTGAGGAACCGCTGCTGAATAGGAGGACGTCTGACTGTAGACCCCGTAATCCCGCCCGAGAAAGTCGCACGGATAGCAGACTTGCGAGAAGTCTGCACGACAAAGCTTAGACAGGCGAGAATGATACCAACAAGAATACCAACAACAAAATCCCAGGCACCCATAGTTGCAACAATGATGACAACCTACAAAATTAGCCAATGCCGTCTTTGACTCAAATTAGAGCTTACCGTGATATATTCATGCCGATGCAATTTTCCCCATGTGTCCACCAAGGCCTCTTGCATCAGCTCAATTCCCAGCAGAAAAATGAGAGCGCCGACAACCATGACCGGAATAAAGCCGACAATCGCCGGGCCGACGACGAGAATACCAGCCGTCGCAGCCGCGAGCATGATACCTGCTAAACGGGAGTTGCCACCACTGTCAATGAACAACAGACTATTAGTATATACAAGGTAGTTCTATAGAAGTCAGCAAATCTCCCTGCAGGCAGGCTATCAGAAGCAGTACCTGTATGCTGCCCGAGAAGCCGGACAGAGCATTGGTGACGCCATGCGCGATGAGTTCACGGTCCACGTTGAGATTATCCTCGCCCGTCGATATGCCCAGGGCAGGCACATTGATGGGTACATGCAGGACGCCAAAGAAAGTGAGCGCGAACATTGCTGGGATCGTGTCGACGAACGCGGCCCAGTCAACAACAGAAAAGTCTATGGATAGTTAGAAGGTCACTGCTATCACGAAGATCCTTTCACATACCATAAAGGGTATAAAAGTGATACCACGGATTTGAGGAGGACGGCGCATCGAAGACCCATCCTTTGTTGCGTAAAGTGCCCATAGAGACCCCAGCGCTGAGAACAACAATATAAAATACGACAGCCACGCAAATAAAATAGCCACCAAGGAGGAAATTAGAATGCAGAAAACGCTTCAAAACAAGCAAGCCGACTGCGAGGAACAAGGGTACCGTCCAAAGAAATACCGTGTCCAATTGCACCAACTTCTCCATTGTTGTCAATGTAAACTCGAACGACCCGGGAAGCCGAGCTGATACTTCGAGACCGGTCAACAAGAGGAAAAAGCCCACACCGCCGATGCACCCAATAAGAATATGCCTTGGGAAAAACCCAATCAAGGCCCCTAGCTTGCAAGTCCCCATAAGGAAGAAAACAAGGCCCGTCAGAATCGAACTGACCGAGAACGCCAGAATAGTGGTAGCTAGGACGGATTTCGGGTTATCGGGTCCAACTCGATTCAAGATCGTGAAAGCCATCTGGTGAAAGAAAGGCACCACCTCGATCATCTCACTGCCGATACCGCCACGGAAGATGGAACCTCCGCAAGAGAAAACGAGCTGAGCAATAATCGTGCTCACATAGAACATGGAGATACCGTCCGATCCAAGGTCAGAGAATATCGGCTCACCCAATGGGAAGAGAATCATTCCGTAAGATAAGGCATCGAGTATGTTGAGCAGCAGACCGAGGAATACCGATGGCAACAGACTGAGGGGATAGACGACCCCGTCGCGCCATACAGCCTGTGTGTCCCACGATTTCGGGTTGGCTACGAGTCGGAAACAATTGGTGACACTCGAGAAGGCACTGGAAAAAGCGCTCGGTCCCTTCGTTCCCGCATATCCCTGGTTTTCAATATCCCCTGTAGCGCCGTAGCTTTGATATGGCTTGATATGTGACGGCTTAGATAACAAGGAAGTTTGCTCTGTGCTCACAGTCTCTCCGGCAGTGACGACCGGAAGCTCGTCTTGAGAGACAGTACTGTCACTTGCCCTCTCCCACTCTTCAGAGTGGTACTGCTCAGTCTGGCTTGATTCCGGGATATCGGGGTGTCGGATCAGTTGTGTCAGCACCGAGGAGCCGGTAGGAGGAATGGAGGAAGGGCCAGCCTCAAGATGAGCCCTCGCTGCAGCTGTTGCGATCGGAGTCGGGGTCGAAGAAAGTGACGATTCGCGAGGGGGACGGAAGACGTCGAGCGACGAGGGAAGTGTGTTCGATTCACGCGACAAGGCGAAGGATGCCAGTTCGGCAGTTTGTTCTCGCATACCATGGGACGAATAATGAGCCGGATCTAGGCCAAACAGTCAGCACTGCATTATTGTATTGTGACGACACGGCGGGGTTATGCTTTGAGGGAACGAGAGTCGATTACATGAGCGGCGTACCTGCAGAGTTATGAAATGACCGATGGAAGAAAGACCTGCTCGGAGTCCGATAACTGGTGCCACCGGACACGGTGGGATCTAATATTGAGGACCGTGGAGGGCTCTCATTATGAGCATGCTCAACTGGAATCTCCATTCCGGCTGGCTCCAAGTCGTCATTGAGGGCGGAATGATGCGAGGGCATCCCCGCGCCGCGGAGGTCGCTACCACTGTTGCACGATCGCAAGACTCCCATGGCGGATGGCGTGGCAGAGGATAAGCCTACCACAAGTCCCAAGTGCCGAAGTCACGGTGCAGATTGCAAGAGCCGATCGAGTACTGATTCAGCACGCGACTTCCAGGCTCGTGGACGAGATCTTAGGACAGTGGCCGAAAGTGCAGAGATGATACCGGATGACGCAAGAACTCAGAAGAATCAACAACCATAGACATCGCTCCACGATTGGCCGATTGAATGAGGGGAAGAAGGGAAAACAGAGGATTATGATATGGGAGGCGTTCAGAGAGAGAGAGGTCTGGAGGGATCAAAAGAGCGATTCAATCCGGTCCAGGCATGACTGGCCGTTGTTATCAGCTAGGTGGGTGAAAGTGACTAAAAAGTCTTATCACGGGCGGATTATCACCGATCCACTTCTCGGACATGGAGACGCGATGGTTGGGGACCTGGATGGCGAAAGCTGCTGCTGGATGGCCACAGAGCATGGGCTATGCTAGCGAGCTAGATTAGTGTGCAGGGATAGAGGACGCCGTCAGAACAAGTGCGACAATAGCTGCAGGAATGGTGTGGGAAGAAGGCAAGAGCTTCAATGTTCGGCGAAGCTGCATGGCCGCATCCAGGCCGATGATAGGGCCGACGCCATTAGGTAAGCGGCCGTTGCAACGGCGATGTTCGTGTCCACGATTTCGCGCAGTGCCGAAGACGGATCCCTAGAT